CTTGTGTTGTCATTCCTTTAGGATAAAAAATAATAAGTACAATGATTCAGTAATAAAAATAGTAAATTGCTTACTTCTTGTAACAAGTAATGATATTATGTCAAAAGTTAAACTATTTACATATTACATAAATTATGTTAAACTAAAATTAATTTGCTGTGTTTTTCCCGCTATTTTGTCCTGTTTTCAGTTTTTATTTAACAAAAATGTCGAACATGTTGGAAAGCGACAGCGATGCTGATGATGGCTGTTTATCCGTAAATGATAATGAAAAGGTAAAGCTTCAAATCCTAAAAAAGCTAAAGTAAAATATACAGCCGATTTTACTCACAAAGGACGACATATAACTAAATCTAATACAAAAACAATAGTTGAAATTTATGATCACATTCTTAATTCTGTAGATTGTCTGCACCAGACCAACAAGCAAGCAAACTGTTAAATACAGGCAAACATACCGTCATGCTTGAAAAAAGATCCTTTGTTTAAGGGTTGGCTTCAACCTGTTGCCGAAAATCCGAGCAAAGCGTACTACAATGTTTGTAAAAGAGAGCTCACAGCAGTTATAACAGCCTTGAAAAAACATAGCGAAACCACGTATCACAACGAAAAAGTCAACGTTCTTGTTAATCCTACCCTGAATCGAATTGATTCAGTGTTTGCTCGTCGTTCAGGCCTAATAGATGGAAAAGTTCAGGAAGCTGGATTGCGTATGGCCAGCTTTATCAGCGAGCATAATCTGTCCTATAATGTAATGGATCACTTTTGTGATCTTTTGCCGAAGTTGTGTCCTGATTCACAAATTGCTGCTAATTTTAAATGAAAACGCACTAAAGCTAAGTGCATTAGAAAAACTTGAAAAACACCAGATTCTCCATAATTATCGATGAAACTATTGATGTATCTACGTGCAAAGAATTGGCTATCGTTACCCTTCATTATCACAAGCAGTCTTTAACTGTGCAAAGCCATCTTTATGATCTTCTCGACGTCCCGCAAGCTGATGCAGAAAAACTATATCAGACACTTGTAAATACCATACAAACAGACAATAAAAGTTTGAAAAAGGTAATTGGTTTTGCAGCCGATACTTGTAACGTCATGTTTGGAGAGCATAACAGTGTTGTCTCCGGCCTTAAAGAGAAGTTACCAAATATTTTTGTCATGCGATACATTTGTCACCGTGCTCACCTTTGCGCATCATATGCTTGTGAAAAACTTCCCGGACAGCTGAGGAGTTGATGCGTGATGTATACAATTACTTCTAGAACAGCCCCAAACGTCAAGAGCAATTCAGAGTTGTCCAGCACTTCTGCGACATAGCACCGCACAAATTGTTGTGCCCATGTCAAACACGATGGCTTTCGCTGCACTCCTGTGTGTCCAGGCTCATTGAGCAATGAGATGCACTGATTATTTTCTTTAAAGCGGTAGCTGGTCACGATAAGTTGCTAATCTCGGAGAAGATTCTTTTGCTCTTGCAGAATCCTATATGGAAGCTCTATTTTCACTTTTTGGAGTTTGTGCTTCCCAAGTTCACAGAGCTAAATGTCATGTTCCAGAGTTCGAAATCTTCTGTCCACTGTCTGCACAATGGTTTGAGTGCTGTTTACAGAGAATTACTAAGGTCCTACTTAAACGAAGCCTATTGGAAAGGTTTACCATTGAGGGTTACATCGCCCTTCGTTTTATCGCCCCCGACTGACAATTTTTTTTATCCATCAAAATGTCAACTTGTCAAAATGAAACAAACAACCCTTATATCCCTATTAGATATTCCAAAACCAACAATTTCTAACAGATTATTGAATCGTAAATATTGAATAAAAAAAGACTTGACCATACAAACTAGGACGGTATTGAAGAGTAATATGTTTGGTTAAAGACAATAAGAACAAGTTTGAAGAATGAACGCAATATATTGTTAGTCACTGTACTATTTGTTGGGAGACATGGCCTTTGGAATGTAAACCAAAGTTACCATAAGTGTGTTCATGATTTTGTCACTACTGAAAAATATCCAATAAGAATGCGGACACGACGTTTTGTTGCGCATAAATTTCTTTACTCGTATGATAAATAATGTAAATACCATAAATAGCACTTCCCTTGCGAAGGGAACTCCTAGTTGCAAGGGCCTTTTTACACAGAGGTGGTAAGCTGACTCTACCAGAAGGAATACCCTGGCAAGCGGTTAACCTATGTCAATATGTTTTATATTAAACATTTTATAAGTAGGGTCTATACATGCGCGCTAGGGTAATCCTAGGAGTAGGGATCCCACATAAAATCTACAAAGCTACATTAGCAGTATGGCTATGTTTTTATTTATATAAGCCGTGTAAACGCGTTAGATTGGGTACCTAACAGTCGGGCTATGTTCACATAACATCCCCTAAACATGTTCATACAGTTTTTACAATATCGGGTGAAAATAAATCGCTTGCGAATTATAGAATTGTTTACAACATGAACTACATGACTCTGATAACTACAAACAATGTAACTAGAGCCATAATTTCTAATTAGCAGCAAGTTTAAAAAACATTTGAGAAAAACGACATTTTTTTCGACATCACAATGCATAATGGTTAATATCATTATGCACTGAAGATGGCATTCTGATAATGTCGAAACATGTTTGCGCCAGTGAACTCCATATATATATATATATATATCTGGAATGATAACGACAATACATTATATAGATAAAAAGTTGAAGCCAAAGTCCTAGTCTCTTGCGCGGTTTGTACGTCAGTTCCAGTCCTTCAAAGTCGAATATTCACGCGGTTTGTACGTCAGTATCATTCCCCTGAGTGCCAAACATACACGGCCAATATAAATTTGAATACAAATTGCAAAGGCATAAACATATAAACAACATCACGACAAACAACACTCGAGGCCAACTCTTCGCAAAAGGTTATTTTTTACAGCTGAAACTTTACTACAGTGAGTTCGTTGTAACTTACAACTTAAAAGTAGGAAAAGCCAACTGAAAATTACACTGTATGCTAAAAGGACAATACAATAAGAAGATATGACGAGAAAATATTCAAGCAAAAATTTTTCTTACATCGGAAGGTAAATTTTCAAACGGTGTTAGACAGTGTTTGTCTTTTTTTTGTCATTTCAGTGGATTTAAAGATCTGTTTTTCCGAAGAAAAAAGAAACTTGAGTATCCAGTTTCATAAAAAATATTGAGTCTATAACTCTCATTTTTACTTTTTACAGAGCGGTTGTATTTTTCATCGATTTTGATAGTGCTTGAAATACTAAACGCTTGTCATCTCGATATCAATAATTGAATATCCTTAATAACTTTGATATGTTTTAAAGGAAAACCGCAGCGTAAGAGCAGATCGACTAAGTTCACCTCATCTTGCTTCGCGATTTATCACTTTGATTCACTTTCCGTGAACCTTTTCATTCCAAAAATTTCTTTATTTTCACGCTCTGATCAAGATCCGAACTCTACCATTACCAAGGGACAAATGATTTAAAAAAATTAAAATGAACATGCGAGAGACTAGAGCCTGACGTGTGATGACGAATGATGACGACAAATATTTTTTTTTTGGCTTCGGTTATCATTCCAGTTATTCAAATGACGAGTTCACTGGTTTGCGCTTAAAAAAATTGTCGTTTTTCTCAAATGCTTTTTAACTAGAGCCATGCGCCGTGAACAGAAAATATTCTCTAAAAGAAGCAAAAATGTTTCATCTGCACAGTGAACTCCATATATATATATCTGGAATGATAACGACAATACATTTTATAGATAAAAAATTGAAGCCAAAGTCTTGGTCTCTTGCGCGGTTTGTACGTCAGTTCCAGTCCTTCAAAGTCGAATATTCACGCGGTTTGTACGTCAGTTTCATTCCCCTGAGTGCCAAACATACACGGCCAATATAAATTTGAATACAAATTGTAAAAGCATAAACATATAAACAACATCACGACAAACAACACACGAGGCCAACTCCTCGCAAAAGGTTATTTTTTACAGCTGAAACTTTACTACAGTGAGTTCGTTGTAACTTACAACTTGTAACGAGGAAAAGCCAACTGAAAATTACACTGTTTGCTAAAAAGACAATACAATAGAAAATATGACGAGAAAATATTCAAGCATACATTTGTCTTTCGTCGTAAGGTAAACTTTCAAACGGTGTCAGACAGTGTTTGTCTTTTTTGTCATTTTAGTGGATTTAAAGATCTGTTTTTCCGAATAAAAAAGAAACTTGAATATCCAGTTTCATAAAAAATATTGAGTCTATAACTCGCATTTTTACTTTTTACAGAGCGATTGTATTTTTCATCGATTTTGATAGTGCTTGAAACTTGAAATACTAAATGGTTGTCATCTCGATATCCATAATTGAATATCCTTAAAGACTTTGATACGTTTTAAAGGAAAACCGCAGCGTAAGAGCAGATCGACTAAGTTCACCTCATCTTGCTTCTCGATTTATCACTTTGATTCACTTTCCGTGAACCTTTTCATTCCAAAAATTTCGTTATTTTTACGCTCTGATCAAGATCCGAACTCTACCATTACCAAGAGACAAATGATTTAAAAAAAATAAAATGAACACGCGAGGACTAGAGCCTGACGTGTGATGACGAATGATGACAACAAATATTTTTTTGGCTTCGGTTATCATTCCAGTTATTCAAATGTCGAGTTCACTGCATCTGCAGTTGTCAATTTTACAACATGTAGTGCAGCCGTTATTGATAATACATTGGATAATACACAGACCTGTCAACCGAAGACTCACCCATGTGTCACCATACCGAAAAAGATTGCCTTGCAAGTTATCCTGCGGTCTTTACTCATAGGAAACGCTATCTAATTGTTGACTCGAATGATAGGGTGATCCTTATGCTAGGGTTAACCTACTTCCATGTAAGTAGGCCCTGAAAATTTAAAAAATCAGCGAATAATGCAATATGTAAATAAGTATTTACATTTGTCTAATAAAAGTGCTACACATATTGTTTAGCATTTTCAATTTTTGATTTCCGACTTCCGAGTTTGTTTCAATAACCACCTATCTTGTTGGAAGACAACATGGCGTGCAAACAGCTGAAAGACGATGCATGTTATAAATCGTTAGAAGAGCATTACAAGGCAGTTGGCTCTAAAATCCACATGCGAAAGTTGTTCGAAGAAGATACAAAACGTTTCGAAAAATTCAGGTTCGTCCTTTATTGATATCTTGAGTGACTAGTTAACTAAGGTCCACCGTCCATATTGAAAAGTTACATAACTGTGTTAAATCTCGGCATTATTTCGATCAAGAAGTATTTTCCCAAGCGAACACTAACCTTTATGGTAGCAGAACGTTTTTCCAACTTCATACAAACAATATAGACATTTAGTATCTGCAGTTGATATTCCATTTGTATATTCTGCTGTTGTGTTAGTAAAGTAGTGCAAAACATTGTTTCATCGTTTTTTTATCTTTGTGATATATTAGAATGTGCACTTTATGTTTGAAGGCGAAATAACCAGATTGTACATGCGTGTTGTACAATCTCCATGTCAATTGTCTCAGCTTTTTGTGTAAGCTGTGTGTAGACGATTTGTTTGTATTCAACAACAACAAAAACAGTCCCTCAGGACTATACCAACCTGAACGATCTACATTTACAAACATGTAACGATACTCCCGGGTTCAAACCATTTACTTTATGTAACGATACTCCCGGGCTCAAACCATTTACTTTGTTTGTATTCTTCTAAAGACTATTTAGAAAATAGAAGTTGATGTTTAGCTGATCTTTATTGCATACGCGCAAAGGGGTCGGAGATGCTTAAATTCTTAATCATTTGTTCTTCAATAGGTTATTTAACTGGTAATTGTTTAGGTTGTCATGTGTCTTGTTACCCAACAATCCGAAACCCTTGTTTCATAGGGTTGCAAGAAGTTCACACTCCTTCCTAAGCTCAGATTCTTTTGTGGCATGTTTGTAATGTTTTTAATTTTTGATGCACTCCTCCCTGAATGAAATCCTTGATTAACCCTTGTCATTTGTCTTTATGATAATGAATTGTGAAAATTTGAATATTTTGTGTATTCTTTGTTAGTACTTGATTCCTTCAGAAATATGAAAGTAATTTGCAATAATGTAAATGGAGATGATTTTTTTGTGAAGTATAAAACATTTAATACTTTCTATTTGTCTCAAAGTTGTGATGATATTTGTTTTTGCCTACAAGTAACATGTATTTTTGTGTTATATGTAAATAAAATAAACAAGTATTTCTTTGCAGTTGTAAATTATTTTGTTTTCAACCCCATCATACTCTATGCTTTTGTCCTTGGCATAAACATTTGCTCCACATGTAAAACTAGTAATAATCAATGCATGGTAAAATTGATTTTGCTCTACCTCACTAAACACTCTATACCTCTATACCAGCCATTTTATACAGTTTATTTTTTTTAATAATTTTTTTCTTTCATTTGTCATTTTCATTTTTTGTTTACAAAAGGCTCATTGTTTTCACAGGTGCCAAAAATTTAACGAGAGTGTAACCCTCTATCATGCAAAGCACCCAATTGTATTCATTTATATTCAACAACTCTCCCCTATTTTTCTTATTTAACATGTACAAACTCTTAATATATAAGTTTTTCCTTGATTGTAATCAGAGGAAAAACTAGAACGCTAATTGGGGGGGGGGGTCTGGAAGAGTATATACAGTTGTGCCCTACTGATTTCTTTTGAAATAAATTAACTTTTCAAAGTAATTAACAGGGCATAACTGAACATATGAATATACACTCCCCTCAATTAGAGTTCTTGTTTCGCCTCTCATTGTAATGTACTATAAAAATATTATATACAATATATGTGGAATACCTATGATCAAATGAATTGTGCTTACCAGTACTGCATGATGTATCATGATTTCTTTTTCCTTTAGTTTGTCTATGTCTTTGCCCGATGGCAAATTACTTGTGGATTACTCAAAAAACATTATCACCCAGGAGACTTTGAACCTTCTCTTTGAACTGGTATGTTATTGCTAGGTATTGGTTGAATTATTGTGATAAGGAGTGATTTCTATGTGGTTAATTTATGATTGCAGTGTGCTTTTATGTTTACTAATTATATGCCCTTAATGGAAAAAAACTTTTTAATGCAGACATATGTTTCGACAATTTTGCTTATCATATTATATAAACAAAACAACTGCAGGCACAAACATGTTATACAGTTTATGAATTTTATAGTTTGGTGAGCTACATACAGTGTATTAACACAGTTGTGCTTTTACGTTAATATGGAATGTTACTAAATGATTTTGTCTTGAAGAAAAAGTCTGACTTTCTTTGAGCTGATAAACTTCTTACTCTAGATTAAGGTTTGTTCAGACGATGGTACTGTCTGTGTCTTAATTGTCTAAAGAATCAACAGGGTACAGGATTATTTATAAGTGGTGAAAGTTTATATATACTTAAGATTCAATATAAGTTTGAATCCCGTCTTATATCCATCACACTACTGTTTGGTAATTTTCTTGCTTATTGCTTATTGGTTGGACAAGTTTGCCTCATTTCTTGTGTGAATTTCCAATTACTGTATCAAAAAGCGGGAGGTTCTGAATGTAGGTTTTGTACTTGCAAGGGCTTTGGACTTCAGTTTACAGCTGTGAAATTCTCCATGTTCAAGCAGTCACTATGATAACTCACAAGAGTGAGACAGATGATCAAACTGCTTGCTTTATAGATTTTCAATCTTTTCTAGCCATTTTGAACTATCTCATGTCACTGTGAAGATCATGCTCATTAATTTGAAAAATTGATCCACCTAAAACATGACATTATTTATCATAAACATTCAAACAATAAGCTAAATTTGTCCATGTCCTTTCTATTTGGAATATACACCTCATAGTATGGCTTGCCAACTTTTGTCCTTATGACTGAATTTTGTGTTAAATAACCGTGAGAACGACTGATTTGTCTAACAAATCATTGTTCTCACGTTTTTTTTAAACAAAATTATTTGCGTAACGAAAGTAAAATGCATGCACTCCATCAAATCACTTTGATTCCGTTTTGGCTCCCCTACATACATATGTATCACACGTTTTTCCTCTGAGACTATTCATTGAGATTGAAGATTTGTTTTGCATGTTTGGTTTCCTATATAAGATTATCTTGAATGATGAAAGTTTTTTTAGATCACAAAAGTTCTAAACTTAGAAATGACAATATATACAAGTACAGTATTTCTTGTATTTTAGGTGAAGAGTAGAAATGTTATTGCAGCTCGAGAGAAAATGTTTTCTGGCGAAAAGATAAACTTTACTGAGGTAAATGTTTTCATGCTTGCCATGTTTTATTCTGAACTTTGTCTCTAAAATAGAAGCTTAATATTGAATATAATACAGCTACTAAACTACATATCACATTTTCCAATTCTAAAGTATACGTACCAACTTGCTAAAATAATGTTGAATGACTATCTGACGCTGACAATTAAACATTCAGGTTGTCAAGTAATAGCTTTTCTCTTTCCTTGAGGAAAGGTTTTTGTCAAACATTTTATTGCTAATCGTTCGAAACAATTTTTTAACATTTCGAATTATTCGATATGCTACACGACTCATGCATTTTACATCCAAACTGCGACTAGCATGTATGTTGCGTATTTTAAAATTAGCAAATGAAATAAAATAGCTGGTTACATTGACGTCTTTTTTGTTGATTCAGAAAAGGGCTGTACTTCATGTTGCTTTGAGGAATAGATCAAACACTCAAATACTCGTGGACGGAAAGAATGTGAGAATTTTTAATTTGTTCTTTTTGAGATTTTTTCATGCAATAAATTTTTTAGACCTCCGCTTTAGAGTGTAAGATAGTCGCTTTCACCTGTAGCTACGTATGACTTAAATTTTGTTTGAAAGTAACACTATTCTTGTCATTTGAAAATAGGTGACACAAGTGTAAGAGAGTATGTAAAAAACGTAATGTTCAATATCAGCAGATTATTATAAAGTTATGTATAAGTTGGAAACTATTGAATACTTTTCATTTACTTTATCTTGAGATTTCTTCGTGTTTTTTTTTAACTCTGCTGGCATGTGTACAAAATGCAAACATAGCTATGTATATGAAGTGCCATCCATGCTCTTTTATGTTTTGCTACCAAAATTTACAGCAAAGTAATTAGTTTTTCCATTCTGTTACAGGTCATGTTTGATGTAAATGCGGTTTTGAAACAAATGAGAGAATTTTGCAATGCTGTGCGCTCTGGAGAGTGGAAAGGTAAAGTTTATGAGGAACTTCTCCGATTCATGAATGATGAATTTATCCACCATAAAATGTCATCCATTCAGGTTACACTGGAAAAACGATCAAGGATGTTGTCAATATTGGTATTGGAGGATCTGATTTGGTAAGGAGTATTTAATTTTTTATGGTTATAATGAACATTTAAATGAAGTATCTTTTACCATACAGTGACTGTATAAAGTGTCGTCTAAAATAACAGTATTCCTACGTTTTCTATCTTCGAATTCACGATTTCACGTCAGTGCACCTTGGGATTAGTGTTTATTTTAATGTCAAGGATAGTTTCCAACTTTCTACATTTTTTATTACATTCATCCAAACGGCAAAACGGCTTATGACTTGCCTACGTAGCTATGTCACGATATTTTCAGTAGCTATGCGTATACGACACAAAATTTCTAATTTGAAATCCAAAGAATGCTATGATTTTTTAATTGATTTTCTTTCCGATTTTGAGATATAGCTCGTGTTCTATAATATGAAATTGAGGTTTATGATAGATAACTTCTCTTGATTGTGAACAAGAGAAAAGTGCTACACAAAGTTTGTTGTGAGATTGAAACTCGTGACAAACGTGTAAATTTAAAGATACTCAACGTCTTTCATCATCTCTAGGGACCTTATATGGTTACTGAAGCCTTGAAGCCGTACTCAGATGGTGGTCCGTCTGTCCATTTTGTTTCAAATATCGACGGAACACATTTGGCGACAACATTAAAGACATTGAGTCCAGAAACAACTTTGTTTGTTGTAGCGTCAAAGGTGCGCATAACTTTACTTATCTCTTGCAACTAAATTTTCTTTTCAATAAACAAATACTGCAAACTGGATTGATGTGAAGATGATAAACACAAGTTTAGTTCTTAAATTTTGTCGCTCTTTTACTTGAGCACTGCGGGGGAAACGTGCAGTGTTAATAAGTGCTTTACGTTGTTCGGCTAATGGCTAAGCAAATCAATCCAAAATGTGCGATCGCTTTGGACATAATTCTGAAAGTCTTTGCTGGAAATTTTCTTTTAACACATCAAGGAAATTTTGATTAACTTAAATGGATACTAACGAAATTGGTATCGGTGAAATGCTAACAAAATTGTTGTCAACCAACAGAGCTGGTTATATAGTCCATGTATGTCCTTCATGCCTTTGTGGAAATACTTTTTCTTTATAACGGACATTTTAATGGGATGACCCTTACATAGTATTCTACATTCTGTCACTATACCATTGCTATTTATTCATTCTTCATTTATGAAGTTTGAGTAATCGATAACTACTTTTACCATAATTACTTTTTACATTTTAATGAATGCTTGTCTTTTAATTACATATATGCCTTGCTTTCATTTTGGAAATTATACGTACAATATTCTCGATGTATTTTTTGTCCAGACTTTTACAACAATTGAAACCATAACGAATGCAACTTCAGCTCGACAATGGTTGCTGGATGCTGCAGGACAGGTAGACTGGTCAATTTTTCTTTCACGCTTTGTATTCACTGAACCGAACAAGTTGAAACAACTAATTCTCGGTTGGAGTATTTTTGAAACGGACAAATGTTTTACTTCACACATTTAGAATTCTGCTGTCGCAAAGCATTTCGTCGCTCTGTCGACTAATGCGGTAGGTCTACAGTATTCATATATTTGTTTTATACAAACTATGTGTCAGTTACCTCCAGTCAGACGCCATAGTGAAATTCTTGTTATTAGTTTTATTGTGATGTGTTTAATTACAAGGTTAAATAGTTGGAATGCTATTATACAAAAAAAAATGATAGCATAAAAAGCTATTACCAACAACTACAAACAATAACGACCTTATCTAACAAGCTCTCCGCTTTTGAGTAGACTTGTCTCGTTTACAAGGAAGAGGCGTGGAAGGTTAATTTCTCAAATGTTGTTAGATAAGGTCGTTATTGTTTGTAGTTATGAGTTTAATTCTTCGAAAAATTCACTTTTACTGGTACCTGGCTCTTACTGGTACCTTTTAAATGCTCGAAATTATGCAATATGATGTTTTTTATGCGTTCTCTCATAGTGCTTATGTAAATATTTAGAACAGATAATTAATGCAATATTCATGACAACTTTACAAACATGATTTAATGTGAGTTTATACTGATAGTGTCATACATCTACTTTAGTTTTCTAGACAAAATGAATGACAATATTGTAACATTAGAGTCAGGAAAGCAGGCTTATTAGTCTAGACATGAAGTAGTTGCTTCGCTTGCTCATGATATATCATGTGTACATGGAGCAAGAGTAGCTAAACGAGATATAATTGTATATATGAAGTAATCCACCGATCATAAAAAATAGAACATGTTTCATGTTGACTTAACTTACTTTAGTAGTTGAAAAGTCAGTTGTGGCTCGAAACCCTACCGTATCCTTATATCATTATATAGTGGATTATATGTCTTCAAATAATATAAAAGCAATCTTTGTACTGACTTCATCTTGTTCTATATATATGTACTTACGCTATTTGGAAATTTTTGTGGTTCAGGTGAATTTTGTTGTACACTCTGGTTTTTCATTTCCTATTTGCAAACATTTTGGTTGATTTTTAGACTTCTATGTGTTATTTTTAATATACATTTACAGGAAAAGGTGAAGAGCTTTGGAATTGACACAAAAAACATGTTTGCATTCTGGGATGTAAGTTTAATTTATTAAGAATAAGCATTTTATGGCAGGTATTTCAATGGTTGATAATTACTCCGTAAAATTAATTCAATAAGAATTTGTTCAATTATTCGTTGTTTTAATGCAAATGACAATTGCCTACATGTATGAAAAGCTGTTAAGTTTTTGCATTTTGTTGCTACTTGTGTCCTTTTACTAATCGTTGCTATCACTCATTTGTGAAAAGCTAATTTGCGAAAAGGAAAACGATTTATGTATTTACGCTACATGCATGTTGTTCAATCATTTAATTGTGACACAAAAACGGTAGCCACATTTACTGACTTGACAGCTATTGCCAGTTGAGTTGAATCATGACTTGTATATTATTTTTAAAGATACCAGCCTCTTTGGCTTGCTGCAACCATCACACTTTGAGAACGAATGATTATATTAAACGCCAAAAAATTAGTTACAGTTTAGTTATAAAAACCTACCAATGTTTAAGTGTTCATTTTAACCAAAACCTAATTGGTTGTGAATTGTTTAAGTAAAAAAAATGTAAATTGTTCTACTTTTCGCAATTTATTTGAGTTTAGTTGAAGTACCCGGCAACATGCACAACCACCGTCAAAATTGGTCAAAATTTTACGGTTTTAACCAGATTTGAGCTTGCACCTTTGGTATAATCTAGTCTACCAATCTTATTACGTTATTCGTAAAGCTTTATACCGTAACGGAGTGGAGTCTAGTCATAACGGACGAGTTTTCTTGTTACCAAATGCAATTCATAAAACTTCAGCAACTCGTTGAACTATTGATTTCTATATTTCTTCTCTTTTTTATGAAGTGTTTGAAATGTCCTGTTTGTGATTTAAACAGCTAAGAACTCTACGAGAATTTGACTGCTGTAATGTCTCTCTTTGTGAAATCATTTTTTGTATCTTCCTTGTTGTGTTTTGATACTTTGTACTTTTCGCATGCAGTCAACGGACTATACCTATATTCTGTTCTAATCTGTCACAACGTCTTGCAACTAATTCATTAGGTAAAATAGTTCTTAATTACTGCTTTTTCTTGGGTGATTTTAGTGGGTTGGCGGTCGTTACTCATTGTGGTCAGCCATTGGTCTATCTATTGCATTGAACATAGGTATATATGCGAAGTCACACACTACGTATCGAAATAATGTTGCTATTTGCGTTAATCATGCGTACATGAAGTCTTTGGCAATGTCTGCCGAATTCATGCAAAACGTTTAGATCTATGGAATTTCTCTAAACTTATTTTAGGGATGGATAATTTTGAAGCATTATTGGCTGGTGCTCACGCAATGGTAAGCAAGGGTTCTTTTCTCTGGAGTTAACTGTTTACTGTTGATAAGAAAGTAAAAGTTCTATTGAACAATAGTACTTTATGTAAAACGCCTTACTGTCTTGACTACTGCGCAATCCGACTCTCTTAGAAAAACATTTTTTACGATTTACACGCGGCTCTGTGAGCTGGTTACTCTTACTAAAGTATATTTAAGTTTTTTTTAAATAGAACCTTGCGTGAGTTGTAAATATAAGAACCACGTAATTATAATGTACAACAACAAAAAGTTGTCGAAGTGTACAAGAAATATTGATTAAATAAACTAAAATATTATTCCAGTATTTGTATAATTCTTTATGTGAATTTCTTTTCTCTGTAGGATCAGCATTTCATTTCTGCGCCATTAGAGAAAAACGTTAGTTGTTGTGCAAATGACGTAATTTCTATTATTTTCAATTGGTTTACTTTATTTTGGTGTGTTTTCACAGATTCCCGTTGTTCTTGCTGTTCTTGGTGTTTGGTATAATAACTTTTTCGGTTGTCAAAGTCATGCGTTGTTTCCATATGATCAGGTAAACAGGACAGTTTCGTTAATTAAATGAATAAATAATTTAGCCGATATGGACTGACTGTTTTAAATAAGTCGTTCGCACTGTTTCACTTACAAGTCACATAATGAAATTGCTCAATTTTGATATCAAATTATTCATTAATTACACCAACATTTTCCTCGCCAATTCACTGCCATAACAGACGCGTGGAATTATAGAAAATATAGAGCAATAGGCTCGTTGTCATTTAAGTGAAATTGTGCTACTGAATCTTGTTTGTCACGTAGAATATTACACTTTGCAATAGTGGCAGCCTCTAGTGCAAGTTTGTTTTTGCTCATTGCTTTGTTTGCACTTGAAATGTAAAAGTTCTCCGCTCAAATGAAATTCTATAAGTATTAAAAGCTCAATAACAATGCAAGAGTCCAGGCACTACAAAAGATAATAAAATCTTTACTTAAAAAAATAATGTAAAATATTTGATTTAAGGTGTCACTTCTAGCTATCTTGCTTTGATCATGGCATGATTTTTTGTGAATTTGTGATCACGCGCACGTTGATGATTCCATTTGATTTTTTTTATCTTTTAGTATTTACATCGATTTGCTGCATACTTTCAGCAGGTATATATGTCGCCTAATATCAGTTGTGAGGTACTTGGATGAGTTTGAAAAACTGAAAAAACATTTATCAGATCACATTCGTGCATTGGCGTCAATTCTGTGTTAATTGGGGGGACCATATTCATATATTCTGTTATGCCTGGCTAACTCTTTTCAATACAATTTCACTTTCAAAAAATATCAGCCTGGCATAACAGAATATATGAATATGGTCCCACCCCCCAATTATCACAGGATTGGCGCCAATGCATTCGTTGTTTCAGAAAGTTATCATTACCAAGTACCTAGGTAACTCCTCACCGGATGTGACGTAAGGAGAACAAATGCATTGACGATGGAGCTTTTATTACGCCAAATAAAGCTCTTATAGCTACGCCATAGTTTGAACGAATAATCAAAGAAAACATTCAAAAAGTCAAACTACGTTTTCTTCTTTTTTTGATGTCACTTCAGGCGCTAAGTCACGAAGATAAAATTTTCGACGTATTAAATTTAATGCAAATGTTCTTGAAATCGATTTGACTATCTAAAGAAGTTATTTCCCTGACCCAAATACGTATAGGCACTTTAAAGGCTAATGATATTGTTTTATATTGAGCGAACATTTTCCTAGACATTAAAAGTTTGTATCTGCCGTAAAATATGTTTAGGGTGACATGGAATCAAACGGCAAGTCAACTTCTTCATCTGGAGCAACTGTTGATTATTCTACTGGACCAATTGTGTGGGGAGAGCCTGGAACGAATGGCCAACATGCTTTTTATCAATTGATTCATCAAGGTATTATGATGCTCTAAAATAATGATTGAATGTTGGAAACAACCGCCACGTGTAACACGTGTTTTATGTCTATTGGGGAACAGGAACAAAGATCATTCCTTGTGACTTTATTGCACCTGTGGAAACTCACAATCCTGTCTCTAATGGACTACATCACAAGGTAATGCAGTAGCTACGTGTTGTCAAGCTGGTACCAATTACATCACTTGCAAATAAAACATACCGTCTTATAAATTTACAAGCATGACCATTTTATTCGTGTGTTAGTGGAGCAAGAACAGCTAATTTTTCAATGTTTTCAAGCGGAAAAAGAGAAACTTAGCGTTTAATGTGTAATTGACAAATATAACCTTGTCTTTAAACTTTTGATTCTTTTTGAGTATATTACTCTTGCATACGTATACACAGAATAGATATCTTAACAGAAGGTCCAATCGTGTCGGAACCTTTGATGTTTCTTGTGCCCCCCTTTTCTGAAGCAAATTCTAAGCAGGCACGCCTTCCAGTAAGATACTTCCGCTAGATCGCATTAGAAAATATAGATGTTTTTACAAATATATTGTTTTGCGCAACAAAAGCTTGGAACCTTATCTTCTTCACAAGACGATAACATTTGGTAAAAATTTCGGCAAACTTTTGCTTTAAACGTGAATTATTAGTAAAATAGCATTCTCGTGCAATACTATTCCATCTTGATTTTGTGAAAGTATCTTGCTGGGAAGTCACGCATGCGTAGTGAAAAAATACACCACGATTTTAGCGTAGTGGGCCTTCTGTTAGGTGTCTATTCTGTGACGTATATGAAGAATTACTATTTGAAGGGAATGATTCATACTAAAACAAACAAAAATGTTACAAGTTTCATTTGCAATCAAAAACGTTTTACATTGTGTTTTCATTTTCACTATAATTTCATCATCATATCATTAAAAATGATTCCGTTTCAAGGTTTGACTATAAAACTTTACACAATGTCAAATACGTTGCTCGGTGTTGTTTGAACATGACTATTTTCTTGCTTCCACTGGCATTATTGTGCTACCTTGTATATTGCTATCCTTGAAAAGAAGTACATGGGAGTTGATCTTCCCTTATGAATGTAAATTTGCGTTCTTGCTTATTTTTACAATCTGTCGTTTGTAACTTCATAAACTACGTCCAAACTTTATCAGATATTTTTTATCAAACAGATTTTACTGTCGAACTTTTTGGCACAAACCGAGGCTCTTATGAAAGGAAAAACTCCTGATGAGGTTACTAAAGAATTACAGTCGTCTGGTTTCAAACAGGAAGACATTGAACGATTAGTAGCTCACAAGGTTTGTGATCTTCATTAATAGATACGTTGTTCATATATTACACAGATGTTTTGTCACTTTAAACAGGTATTTCCAGGCAACAGACCAACTAATTCAATTGTATTGAAGAAGATCACTCCAAGTTCTCTTGGTGCTCTTATAGGTATTTGATGTGTGATTAAACTGCTTGAGATTATTTTTAATGTTTAAGGTTTACTTGCCTGATGCGTTGACTATGTCAGAATCTGTTACCAGAGCTGTCCCCAGTTGCCATTTTATAGAGTATACTAACAAATTTCAGATAAGATAAACCGCTATTTGATCAAACTTAACTTCTAAGAGCCTGTATTTTTTATTTGGGCAAAGTTGGCAATTTGCATATGATAAAAGTCATATTAGCTGAGTTAATTGAATCTTGTTCTTTAATGACAATCATTCTCACTTATTGCGTTTAGCGATGTATGAACACAAGATATTTGTTCAAGGTAAAATTTGGGATATCAATTCATACGATCAGTGGGGGTAAGTATAACATAGTAAGTTTCAAAGTAAATATTTCAACATAGTAAGTACTGATCGATTGATCACGATGACATTGTTGTCAAATGGTATTCATTGCTTTTTTCTTAATTCAGCAACTCGTATTGATTTGATATTATCTCTATAGATGAGAGGGTTATTCATACAGGATTTAACGATTTTCATATTTTTTCTTCCGAATTCTTTATTATTTAAAAAGTCGTTTTTCTTTTTTATGAACAATTACAGAATAGACTTTTTCTCAATCATAACAGAAAAGGCTTGTTTCAATTAGCAATTTATATGCCTCTTAATTGTTTTGGAAGTCAAATGTTGAATTTCCAAATTAAAAAGGCTTTAAAGTTGCCACCTTGTGCCATTTCTGTCGATTCTTACTCCTTATTACAGGCTTACATTAGTTTCTGTAATACGTAACATAGTATATATCGTCAACATTAGTATTGTAGTCATGAGCTACGCTTGCCATTAACTGACATAAATTTTTATCTGACTACATCTGTTTGATACGTTTGCAGTGTGGAGCTTGGAAAACAATTGGCAAAAGTCATTCAACCTGAGCTGGAGCAACCTGGAACGTGTACAACACATGACAGTTCAACTAATGGTCTCATAAATTTTATAAAAACTCATTCATCTTAGAAGGAGAAACTAAAATAAATGCCTCAGCTACTCGGTGTGATAAGTGTGAATGCTGAGCCGTAGTTAGGTGTTAGGATCATCTCATTATAAGTAGTTAACGTCGTAGTATTTCTTACAATAAATTTGTGTGATTTCAAATACTTCGTTTCTGTATTGATTTCTGGGGAACATATGATTGGAGGAAACAACTTTATTTGAAAGTATATTTATAACATTCCGTTTTAATTTGTGATGATATTAAAATAGCGGACCACAATTTTCGTCATGTGATCACAAATGAACCAATCACATTTAACTTACACTTTACCTGTATAACAAAGTGTGTTGTTGATTGCTTAGAGTAATTGTAAGTAATATAGATCAACATACATTGCTAGTGCATTGCTTTGCAAATTTAAATAAAAAAAAAACATGGAATTACCCATTGATTCTGGACTTCGTTATTAAAATCGTCAGGAATCATTAGTTTTCTATGTTTTTGAAAACGATTTTTTGATGGAAACAATGAACAATGGTTATAACCGTCTTCTTAAGCCGATTAGGGAAGTAAGAAATAATTTATATGAGTACAGTATAAGTTTTAGGGTGGTATAAAAGCTTTTCATTAAAGAAATCAAAGATTAATTTATTTGCAAAAGATTATGAAAACCGGGGAGTTGATTGGCACAACTCGAGGGAAGATGAGTGCCAACCAAAAACCCAGATGGAGTAACTACTCTCAAGTTCTCCCAAACTGAACTTCTGCTTGAGTAAAACCATTTTTGCACATGTCCTGCGGTAAGTAACAATCTTATAAACACATCGTTACATAGCTACGCAAAGAATTTGCATTGTAACTTAGAGCGTTAAGTACCAATACAATAAGCAATTAGCCATTAAAATATAGTTGCATTGAAAATAACTCGTAAAATTACGGTGGACTTTCTAAAACAGATAACTCATATCTCTTTGCATTCTCAAGATAATAAAGTTTTATAATGCCCGATTTAAAGAGAAGTGACGTCGCTGCAAATATATAAGTAGAGAGCTTTAAGGCTAATTTCCACGGAGCTGCATTTTACGCATTGAGGAAAATGCTCGGGCGCATGTTGCTCTCAATTGTTAAGGCTTTTCTACGTGGCGGAAATTGCACTGGTGCGCTTTTTGTTGAGAAAAGAAACATGGCTGCAGTCAACAAAAGATAGTTACTTCTCCAATGCTTAAAAACACCGTAATTATATTATTTATTTACTTCGTTAAAGAAGAAAGAATAAGATTCCTACTAAAACAGGGATTTTGAATGAGAAAATCACCGCTTTATTGCAGTGATCTTGAATGTAGAAGCTTAAGAAAAAATAACGCACTTAAAAGCAGAATGAATTCAAGTTTTTCGCGTTGCTCAAGAGCTGCTTGAGAGCACAGAATTGTTACTGCCTTTTAAACTTTACAAAGCGGCGCATGCGTCATTCAATAGGAGTGCGAGCATTTTGCGCTATAGCGTGGAAATTAGCCTTTAGCAAAGACTACGAGTACGACTACAAGTACGAATTATTTCATTTTGGCGAGTAAAAGTTGTTGCGACAGCAACAACACGTAGCCGTCATTAATCTGACGATGTCTTTTTATGAAAAGAAAGTAGGTATATTTTTTCATTGTGTGAGAAATTAATGTACAGTACTATCAGGGGCGGATCTAGGATTTTTCCAACATCAGTCATGAACGTCGAAAGGGCCTGGGGGTCCGGGGTACTCTCTCCTGGGAAATTTTGAATTTCAAAGCCTTGGAAATGTCATTTTCAGCGTTTTAGAACAATACAAAATGTTTTTGTGGGCATCGTTTTGGCTTAAAAACAGCACATTTTGCTTACGCTTTTTTCAAAAAAAAAACAATTGAAATGAACATTACTTGAATGTTTTGCAAAATATTTAGGCTCGTTATCATGCCAAATATAAGGCTCATTAGCATGCCTAGGAGCATAAAATTTACTTTACAATAATGCTATTCCAAAAAAGATAGAGTCGTTAAAAATTTCTACCAAGTTGTCAGGCATAGACCCCTTCAGTGACCCCCATTCACATCTCTATGTAATGAGAAGAGTTGGAAATGAGGTACTAAAAGGGACAGTTCATAGATGTGAGAAAGCTCAGACTTCAAACCATGCAAGTTTATTGTAACCCTTCACCCATCTCCACATACAGTGCCAGGAAATTACCTTTCGAGAAAAAACTCAAAATTTTTTCTGTCAAAGATGAAACAAAGATTATCAGAGTGAAAATTTGCAATTAAGGACAGCTTAATGCCATTAATGTTTATTAGGCATTTCACTAGACTATTATCTTATGTAAGTTTATGCAAGGTGTGCTATATAGCAATCACCATTAGCATTGTACTTGCCAATATAAACAGAATGTAACTAACATGCCTTTAATCATATAATTACATGAATGTTAAAATTGGTTAATGTGTCATGCCTACTGGTCATGATAAATATCTTTTCCTATGATCAAAATTAGTTTAAATGTAAATCTGAAATAGTTTAGTTTAGAAATTATAAAGATCATCAGGAAAATTACCTAGTGATCATGAAAAATACTTTTCTGTTTGGCCAAATTTCAAGGTTTATCTAGGAACACAATGTTATTTATTTATTTTATAGAAATGCTTTTCATACATCAATAGCCCTTGAGAATTTCTGGCAAACAATCTGATATAAGCCGTAGATCAGCACAGCTTGACATCTCTACATGAGGTGTTCAGTTAGGGGACAATAGAGAGCTTTGGCAAGAGTACGACTACGACAACGAGTACGAAGTTTGACCGTCTAAAGGAATGGCACGAGGAAGTTTGTTGTCGTTGTCGCTTCGTCAAAATTTTGTTTTAGTTATAAATAGAACGAGCTTTTTTATTGTGAAAAATACCGTCGTTTGCGAGGCAGCTACTGCTCCATTTGTCATTAATGATATTAACTATTCGGTAATACTGATTTTGCGAGAATATAAGACTCTTTAGATTGAAAAATCTTCACTATTTTAAATCTTATGTACGATATATTTATGCTATTTTATTGTTTGTTTACCGTTCAATTTGCGTACGAAATACATGAAAGTTTTCAAGGTCACATTTTCCTTTTAAATGTATATATGCGCCCAAAAAGGTTCTAAAGTAAAGCATGGATGTTCGAAAATAGTACTGTAAACTAATTTCTTACACATTGAAAAAATATACCTCCATTCTTGGCTTAAAAAGACATCGTAGTCGCGACTACGAATTTTTTACAAAACATCGTACTCAGATAGATGACGGCTACGTGTTGTTGTCGCAACAATGCTTTCGCGCCAAAATGACGTATTTCGTACTCGTAGTCGTACTCGTAAGTCTTTGCTAAAGCTCTCTAATTTCTCTATAAAACGAACATCACCACGGACATCACAAAACTTTCGATATCTTGAAAATGCAGAGAGATCTCTAAAGACTAAAATGTTTTAAAAAGTCCGCTGTCATTTTACAAGTTCTTTTCAATGAGACTACAACTTTTAAAAGCAAATTTTTCGTTGTATGGCACTTTAAGCGGGCTTATACGGAATAGAGTCGCGTATGCAGTTACACTGCAGTGAATGCACAGAACAAATGACTGACTTCGAAGGCGAATCCCATGTGCTGATTCTAAAAACAAAATCAATCCACTGTTTTCGTTCTCCGTTTCGGACATTTCATCAACAGCAAGTAATATCAAACAAATAAAACATAAAACTGGATTTACTGTGTCTATGGTCAGCTGGGAAAACTAGGAAACTCTTTACGTTAATGATTTTTATTGAGTGAGTCTGATTTTGTGCAGTTGATGTGTGAATGCAAGCGCAGGAGTAACAATTCAAGCATATATATGTATATATATCGCACTTCCAAACGCAAGTTTTCATAAGATGATTATTTCATATGAGCGTCAAATATTACTTATAATGTTTAAGCGCGTACACGTCACTATCTTAATGGCTTACTTTCACAATTTCAATATTTTACAAAATAAATTTTCCAATAATGAATCCGAGGATAACAGCCACTATCAGGTAGACAACAGGTGGCAACTGATATTCGTTTGCTGCTGACTGTAAATTGTGAACTATTTCCTCGGGTGATGATGTAATGATCTTGTTCGGTTTAGATCGTTGCCTTATGTCTGCTTCCTGAAAGAGACAGAAAAATATATAAATTTTCAAAAAAATCTAATAAACGCGACAGAGTTTAAGAACTCGTAGCAAATACGTAGCTAATATTTTTTCTATGTAATGAAGCCATATATGAGCAGTTGCAAAATTTTAACATTAGAGAGTTTCAGATTTTACTACGAGTACGACTACCGCTACGCGATTCGTCATTTGGGCGCGAGTACGCGATTTTGAAAAAATCAGGTATTTTACACTACGAGTTCAGAAAGTCATCATTTTTTATGGATTTTTATTTTTATTTTTATTTTAGTAAAAGATATATTTACTAAGCCATAATAAAACAGAAATGTTGATATTTTAGCTTTTGAAGTGGCTGTGAAAACTGTATGTCCATATCGCGAAATTGTTTTTATTTACATATTTATGACAGAAACATTTTGTATCTTTCTGGCAATCACTACTTTTTTATTTAGTTTGTTTTTGTATTGCTGTTCAATCTGTTTCTCGAGCCGTTGTTTTTTGTCAAAGAAAACATATTCACTGATTTTATTTCATAAAATCTATTCTGAGACGCCAATAAACAAAACAAAATGACGGTCAAACAAAATATTTCATTTAATATGAAATTGATAATTCAGCCGCGTACATCCGGTATTTTCATTATTTGCTCGAAAGCTTTTTTCCTACAAATTCACCAAGAAGATGAAAAGCTTCGTCCCTCAATTGTTCAGCTGCATATTGTATGATCGTAATGCGAATACGAAAGGGAGATTTCCCAGAGACTTTTGCCTTGTTACTTACGCTTATACAGTTTTGCTAACACCAGGAAATGAGATGGCGAGAGAAATAGATGAGAGAATAACATCAGCTTGGAAGAGATTTGGACAGTACAGCATGTTCATGAGAGATCAAAGAATGCCCATGTGTCTCAAAAGGAAGATCATGGACACTGTCATACTACCAGCAATGACTTATGGAGCAGAGACGTGGGCACTTACCAACCATCAAAGAGAGAAACTGGCAATCACCCAAAGGAGCATGGAAAAATCAATGCTCGGTGTCACGAGGAGAGATAAGATCCGGAATGAAGACCTGAGAGCAAGAACAAAAGTGAAGGATGTCATCGAGAAAGTTAATAAAGCCAAAGGAAAGTGGGCAGGACATCTAGCCCGAATGAAAAATCATGAATGGGCAAAAAACAACTGAATGGACCCCGTGGGACAAGAAAAGAGGCAAGGGAAGACCAAAAAGGAGATGGAGAGATGACATCGAGCAGAGAGCGGGCAGCATGTGGATCCAGAGAGCCCAAGACCGTGAAGAGTGGAGAAAGATGTGGAGGCCATCCGCCAGCAGTGGCGTGACAGGCTGATGATGATGATGATGATGATACAGTTTTGCGTAAAGAATGCTTAAAAAATGTATTTATTACTGAACTTGTTTATCGAACCCAGATCCCTCACGGTCAAATCACGTATCGGTAGTCGTACTCGTAATCAAATCTGAAACTCTCTATTGTCTTTCTTTTCCCTTATACCAACCATGCAAATGAAATAAAAGCTAATTTCGAAACACGCATATGTACAAACGTTGTACAGTTTTTTAAGAGCCTTACTTGAAATTCCAAAATCTGAAGTCAGACACATGAATATTTTCCCTCTAGAGTGTTAGTCTGATCAACAAATGTATACGAAATCCTACTTTACAATTTTATCGACGTATATCGTCGATATGACGCGACATGTTTCGCAATAAAATCCAAAGTCAATAAACGTACGTATAGATAGGGATCCATGGATAAAGCTAAATTTCAAGCTTAGTCTATCTTTGACATTTATGATTAGTCTTCAAAAACAGTTCCCATACCTACGTTTCATCGATGTGATAATTACATAATTTTTAGCACATAGCTCATATGCAAATATAAAATGATAACACGTCTGATTGTCACAGCCAAAAAAAAACGGCTATCATGTTTTTAGTAGAAAATTTCAACTGATGTAGGTACGTACTCAGTAAAAACAAAACTCATTAACCATAACATCTCCTGGACGATTTAATTGTTCTTCATTAAATGCTATAATTAACCACAAATGCTTAAAATGAAGTCACTTGCAACTTATTGAAATCTGATGCATCATGCATCATTATGGAGAGAGAAACAGTAGTTACCATTGCAAATAGCCATATATACAAAGCTGTGAAAGCCTTTGTAGTTATGATAATATAATTTTGTTACCGAGGAAAATTCCATTCTGTATATCAATTACATGTGCTGTGATTAAAAGTGGGAAGTTTTCCTGTTGTTAAAATCACGAAGCAATTGTTTTCCAATTTTAATCTGATTTTAGTGCACATAGTTAGCTAACCACATCATCGTTGAAATGGAACGAATTTCATGACGAGTTGCTCGTTAACGAGCTATTGTGACGAGCACTTGGTAGCACACTGTGGCGATTTTGTCAAAACAAGCACGGACGAATTTTATCGTAGGAAGAAATTGCTTTTATTAAAGAATAAAATTTTACTGTTTTTAACGTCTAAACGACAACATTAATCCAAAAGGAGGTTTTGGGTGCATCCAATAAATAGAAGGCGACAGGATAAGAGTCTGTGCGACGCGCTGTTGCATATACTTCATCAAGACAATAAGAGACATTGTAAATACTTAAGAACGACGGTTCATCATTTTGATTAAATACTGTGTTTAATTGCACTTCTTTTTACAAACAGCGCAGAATAGATATCGTAACAGAAGATCCACTCGTGTCGGAACATTTGATGTTCGTGTCCCCCACTTTTCTGAAGCAAATTCTAAGCAGCCGGGCCTCGAGCAAGATACTTCAGCAAGATTGCAATAGAAAATATGGATGTTTTTACAAATATATCGTTTCGCACTGCAAAAGCTTAGTACCTTATCTCCTTCCCAAGATGATAATTCATGGTAAAAATTTCGGCAAACGTTTGCTCTAAACTTGAATTATTAGTATAAAAACATTCTCGTGAAATACTATTCCATATTTATTTCGTGAAAGTATCTTGCTGGGAAGTCACGCATGCATAGTGAAAAGGTACGCCACGATTTTAGCAGAGTGGGCCTTCAGTTCTGTTAGATGTCTATTCTGTACCAAGAGCAAGACGGACACTTATCTGAGAGGAGCAATTAAAGTTCTAGTCATGTGATGCTTTATGTCCAATTTCAGTAAAGAATAAATAACTAACGTATCGTCATATTTTCTTGCAGACGAGCAGCTTGTCAAGAAATTCGTAGCATTTCAACGATAGTGTGGCTAGCGCTTTGTTTCTTTTTGACTAACATTCTCAATTTCATCCCAGGTTTCATTTGTAATGAGACGAACTTTTGTCATTACAACACAAAAATTAACGACTGAGATTGTTGTGAATTTTCTGATGGAAAGTATTTCAAATGTCAGAGCGCTTGAGATAGACCTTGCTTCCTCACTACGAAATTAAAATTTTCAATCTTACAAGAGTAGACGAGTACAATTTTCGCAAAGTCGCGATTTCACTCATAAAAATAGACTGTTTAAAACAATGCTATTTTACAATTAATGTACTACATGTGCATGAAATTGCTTAAAAACTCGCTGTAAAAGAGCTTGAGGTCTTTATAAAGGAACTGGCCTTGCTTGTCTCATTGACGGAATATGCAAGCAAACGCTTGTTTCCATTTTATTTTAAATGCCTAATTCTCACGAGTTAAAGAAGTTCAAACATAGAACAAGTTGACATTGTAGGTAAAATTCTATATAACGATATTCGTATGCATACCTCAGGAGCTATTGATGAAGGGTGCTATCTCATGCATGACAGCTTTAGTTGGAAAGTAGCAGTCACCAGCAGCGTAGGGGTAGTTACGGTTAAATGAAATTTGCCATTTTGTTTGTTCCTATAAGTTTTCTTATCGGCATATACATCCATGTAAATATGATGATAACAAAGTCAACTAACCACACGTTCGCCTTTCGATTTCAACTTGTTAGAGTTGGCAGCATCCGAGCTTCTATCATCATTCTGATAAGAAATGCACATTATTGTACCGCTGAAGGTAAAACATGAGTAAAAAATGGTAGACATGGCACAAAACGTTGAACAATCTTGTTGTTTACAAGTCACGACAGATATAGCTTCCTTGAAGCAACGATTGGCGTAAAATATGAATGCGTACGATAACAGACTAAAACAGTTTGATTTTACATCGACTTGAATTGAATACTTAATATCAATCTTTTAACAGCTATGACGACAAAGAAGGTAATCTTCGTTTCAAGTCAAATAATGCCAAATAATAAACCTTTTATTAACCTCGCTTGCTCGGTCTTTACTGAGAAATATAGGACCTCTGTTTATGTACAAACCTCGCCCGACGGGCTTGGTCTGTACATAGAAAAACTCGGTCTGATCATTCTCAGTAAAGACCTCGAGCTCGGTTAATAGGGGCTTATTAATGAATATTGTTCCTGTTAGGGGCGCGCTAAACAGCACTGGATGGAAGCACAAAGTTCGAATTTTTTTAGAAGCTTATAAGCATGAAAACTGTTGCGAAATATTCCATAGGCTAAGTAAGCTTAAGGCCACAGGCCGGTTAATATAACATTACTCACTTTTGGCGAAGATGGACTTTCATTGACTACAACTTCCTCCACTTTGGATGCTTCATTCTCCGATGATTGCTCCATATTATTTAGAGTGGACGCAAATTCATTCTTTTCAGTAGGTTCATTCTGTGTAAATTTAAAATATAATAGTCATAGGTGACACTTTATGTTAGGGTAAAGAATAGTTATAGGTACGTAATTAGAAGAATCATACAAGTATTCTATTGCAGTTTCAATAGATAGCGAGTAGAGTAGCAAATCAAATGAAAGCATTCGCAATCATAGAGATTATAAATAATACTACAGGTGGCATCATAATTTATAAAATAAACACAATGAAACGCGTGCGCTGATTGTCCAAAGGTCTCCTCGGTTTGCAAAAGTACGTGCGAACACAGTAAACATCTTTTATTTCTTAAATAATCTATAGTTCAAAATGTGGTAGGCGTTTTCTATTATTTGGGGGAGGGGCAAAAACGATTCCCGTATGGTAAGCTACAGTGAAAGAGTATGATTTTTTGACTTTTATGTATATATTATGCGTACATAATATAGTAAATACTATCACAATCTAGTTGTTGAACAATGCTTTCCTTTTCATCATAATTTTAGAAGGTTTAAGTCACTCGTATTTTGCAAAACAAGTTTGTGTTTCTTTTATACTCATTCAGTTAATTACTAAGTCCGTGGGTCATTGCTTGATAAAAAAAACGTTTTCCGGTTTTAATTCAACTGCTAACAGACTTCAAAAAACATATATCTGTCATCCATACTTGAAAAGTGTTAAAAACGGTTAAACTATGTGAATATGTGGGTTGTAAAAACAGAAAAACAGAAAAGAATAACAAAAGTTTTTATTGCGTATAGTTTAATTTAAGCATACAAAGTATACCGATCATAATAACAGCTCGTTAAAAACAATTAGCTACTAACGCCTTGAATTGACAAATTTTCTTGATGCTCGTACAAAATAGAAGAAAAACTTACTAAATATATTAAGAAAGAATCCTAAACTCAAAGCAGACGGCAAAAGCATCATTTGTTTACTTCGTGCTTTAATCCGGGACCTAAAATCCCCCATTTCGCCTAAATTTGTCATAAATGGCACATCTAGTTTTATTTATAATCTCTATGTTTGCAATAGAATATTAGTATGTGGTAGATAGCAAGTAGCAAAGCAATAGATAACGAGTAGTAAAATGTGGCTGGCGAGCCGTCTCGCGTTTTACTTGGGTTTCTACCAATAGACTTGGTTGTTTACTTCAAAAGGCAATGCTGTAGAAGACTAACGTTGAGATTAAATACAACGTTAAGATACATGTAGTTAAAGTAAAATATACAAAAATTCAATTAAAATAATTAAAGATGCATTTAAGTCCAGGCTTTTTAATAGAAACAATGTAGGCAACAACAAATTAATAAAACAAAAATTTAAAGGAAACTATAACAATTTATGAATACTAACATGATTCTATACTAAAATACATTACTCGTTCTCGATTTCCATGATGTGTCGATTCGTGGGAGAGTTTGTAATGAACAATTGTTAATTGAGCAAACTTAAGCCGGATTTCTACTGGCAAATTTCTTCGCACGAAGCAATAATTTTTGAATTCAAGCATCAGCAGACCGTCAACGACGTCACACAAACACGGCGATAAAATTCGCAAACTGTTCGCCACGACGAAAATTTGAGTTCGAATGATTTCTATACTTTTTATATGCTTTTGCGATATGCTTAGCGAAAAGAATTCGCTAGCAAATCGGACTTTAGTGTTTCTAATTTGTGTTCGTTTGTTAACCATATTCAGTTTTCAAAATAGCGAACGTTGAAGAGTTATTCGCTCGGGAAAGAATTTCCACACTATCTAACGACTCTACTCTCAAGAAAAAAGACTATTTTGACGAAAAAAACGATGCTTATGAAACATATTCCTGATCGCAAATACTAAATCCCCTCACGAGAAAATAAAATTCTCCTTTTCAGTAACAGTTCAACATACAAACGACGTATGAAAAAAACCCCTCTAATAGGTGGTTAGTCGTTCTGGTAGACATTGCAGCAATAATAATCATGACATGCTATTGCAAAGCAATATATAGAGATATACAACTTGCACCTACCCGTGTTCCCTAACGTTCTACATTTTCACGTTTCATTCAGACTGAAAAAGTAAAAATTTATATACTTACTTCCGAAGTTTCATCATCAGCAGGATCAAAAATACATTTCAGTTTCGAGTCCATTATTTGATCAGGTTTGGCTTCTTTCCACTGGAAAATCAGTATGAAAAACTTAGTGAATTTATTGAGACTGCCTTTCTCTCTCTTTGCAGACGTATTACATAAAGACATTGTTTGTTTTTTACTGTCTCGGTTATGAAGCGTCCTGTGTTACGTAAAGTGTGTAAAACGCCACGCAATGTGTGTAAAAAATCCCCGCGCAAACATTATGACAAAAGCAAAATATATTATAAAATAACTCATAAAAAAGCGGGCGCTGATTGGAAAATGCTCGAAAAGCCCGTGTTTTTATAGCACTTTAGAAAAACGGGAATTCCAGTCTCAAAGGGTTCGTGGTTTGCGCGAGAAATTTAAAAAGCAAAAATGCAAAAAATAAATTTATCTGATAATGTTGTTTATAAAAGGCTATTTATCAAAAATTGAAAATATCTTTTGCTACTTGTTATAAAAACAGTTTTGAAAGTTTGGGACAAGCTCGAAATTCCTAGAAAACATTCGTACTTCGTGCTCTTACTTGCCACACAATTCCTCGTTTCTTCCAACAATTCTCAAAACGCAAAAAATATTTTCCTATTACTTAATTACCGAACAAAACTGTGAAGTTAGACATTTATTTAGCAATATACTACTTATAAACAAACACTTACGATATTATCCATATTGTCGGTGTTTTCTAAGATAATTATTGACTGTACCATGAATTTGTGTCTGGATTTCTCTTTTACATCGAAGTCAAAAGGCTGTAGCATAACTACAAAAATAAAAACTCAAATAGTTCACAAGAAAAGGGAAAAGATACATGTGTCTAATAACACCAAGGAAACTTTTTTCCTTTTACACAGATCCGTTTTCACCGTTTCACGTCTAAATAACAAGTTCGTTTATGTACTTTATTGCTTACAGAATAACTATGTACAGATAAGTAACATGAATCAACAGTTAAAACCCAACATATAGAAACACATCAGATACTAAGCATGTCGACATTCCAGACAATCAAAGGAAAATACAGTCAAATGTCCAGTAATCCGACACCCTTTGGGGACCAGGACCTTGCGTCAGCCGAAAGGGCAGAATTCTGTTTCCGCTTAAAATTTGAAATTCGCACCTTAAATAAACTTGTTCAAAAAATAACACAAAAGAGGAGAAAAAGCTTATAAGAGTCCAACATAAGACTTTTAACAGAGACATAACGACAATAAATTAAAAAATATAAGGTTTCTTTTTAATGATGACGTCTCGTCGATATAGTAGGGCAGCTAAGCTACATGAAATGGTGAAATCGTTCACTTTGTGATAAAAGCATGAAACTTTGCAAACACACTAAACTCCATGTAATTAACAATTTTTGATATGGAGGCTAATGAATATTGCATGCTTCCCCTGAAATGCGCATGTCGAAAATTCAACCATATTTGGAAACGAGGCTGAGTTTACATTGTTGTTTGAGAACACTCAACACAATGCTTGAGAACCACAAACCATCTGGTTTACATTTCTGACTCTTAAACAACAAAATTTGATAATCTGTCTGGTCATTTTATAAGTCACGTGATAGGGCGATTATAAATTATAAATTTCAGATGCCATGACAAATCTTACAAGTTAAATGATGAAACGTCGTCATTCAAAAAACCTTTCATTTTTAATTCATCGTCGTACATGTAATGGTTCTATTAAAAGTCTTTGGTTGAGTTATCATATCAGTACGGCTTAACTTGTCGTCACAAAAAAAATGACGATGGGGAATCACGCTTTTGGTGAATAGCATGAGCAAACGATAACATGCATTGTTATGATCAAGGATGCATGGATGTGGAAAAATTTTGAAGCGTAATGGGTGGGGAGGTGCGATTACTCTAGCATAAAAATATTTAAGCCCAGCACAATGGTTATAAAAGAGACATTTACGTATAATACATCATACAATATTATATTTAATATTTACGGATGATGTCTTGTAAGCCATGGGGGGACACAAAAAAGAGCAAGCCAATAAAATACATACATTTAAAAAGTATAAATAGAGTTGTTGAGAAAATATTATCAAAAGAAAAGTTTCAATAACAAATCTGAGTAATGGAGGCAACCACTTAGCTACATCTTGATTTGTATTATCTTCATGTGCTTAGATAAAAATAAGAAAAGAAAAATTAGAAGGGAAAAATAACCTAGATCCAATACCACTTGAGTTGTTTCTATACCACTAGACAAACTGAAAGAACCACACAAGTTATGTTTATTTCAAAAATTTTATACATGTATATTTTCAACATAAGTACAATGTAAGTGAAAGGTTTACATGTTGGATATTCTTCCTGTTTTACAACTTGAGGGCAACTTTTACCCCTTTTGAGATGAAACCTTATGTCATCCAATGAATAAAAGTTTTCCATAATTTAGTGCATATGCCATGGCTCTTTGAAGAGCATTCTGCTGGGCTTTCACATTGAACATAAAAATTTGCATCATGCTTGGTGCTTCATTAGGTCAGTCTAGTTTGGATTGGAGATATATTTGAACCTCTCATGCACAAACTTAGCCAAGACAAGATAAATTATCTCCTCCTGCATCCCCTTCTCACCCCCCTTGGCATCCCACTTTACCACTCCTCACCAGATTTTAATCCATCCCTGGTGAGGTTCAAAAAACACACACATTTATTGATATAATATAACATACCAGCTACAGACACTTTGCTACGTGGATCAATTATCCCACTGTTTGGTCGTACACAGTACTTTTTAGGAGCTGTTGTCTTCACTTTAAAACATACTCTCTTTTCAGTTGGATTTCGAAGTACTATGTTACAGTTGACAGCTTTATTAAATGGACCTAAAGTTATTAAGAAACAAACCAAAAGAGAAAATAATCACTGCTCACAAAGAAGCTGGCTTACATAAGCTGAGGTGGGAATAAAGCAGATAAAAGGCATAAACTATTGAATACATCACATTAGACTGCGAGGAAACACTACACATTATAAATATAAATTGTTTACTTTTTAGTCCTAATATAAAAAAGTAAAAATAAAAGTAAACAGTAAAAATAATACTGTTTGAAATTTTCTTTGATAACAGCTCATAAAACTACATTAAAATATGCATCACAGTGTGCGAATTAGTTCGGAAAAAACGATGTGCAATTTTTTTGACAAAAGTTTTTCTTTAGAGGCATAATCAAATCGATATTACGTTAATTATTATATAGTGCTAATTGCTAAATTAATATTTTTAAACATGAACAAATTCATATGATTAACGACAGAGTTTTTTGTTAAAACTGCTGATTTTTGCACATCGTTTGAAAAAAGTGATGTGCAATTGTTTTCATTTTAGCTAAAACGATGTGCAAATTGCACATTGCACACCGTTAATTCGCACACTGCATCATATTCATGTATAAGAATTAAACCATACTGAGCATGTTTGGCAATAACCATGAATTTTTTCAAATGAATCAGGAACAAATGGTGTGTTTTTATATGATTTGAAAATTGCAAGTTTCTTCAAAGTTCTGACATTAACATTTCAGCACACAAGTCACTTTTTTGTACAATTAAGGGTTAGGATACAATTTCAATTCATATTTTGACAAAACAGTAGCGCAATGAAATGCATACAAAAATTTAATCAAAAAAATTAAATTTAAGCACTTTGAAAAAATTGTGGGCACAATAAAATTGTTAATGTGCAGGTGTCAATATCAAATTTCATCATGAACACATAAAGCAATCTAAATTATGATCATCACTATCATACATATATTTGTGAAATACAAGATATTTTGTCATTGTTCATTTCAAAAGTCAAATCTTTCTTCACTTAAAAGATACATTTTTTACTTGGAAGTCAGTTGTTACTCCAATAGATAACATCATTTAGCGGCACAAGTCTATATTTAATTTGAGTTTTAATGACCAACTTGGATTGGCCCATTTCTTGACAAATCTACTTGGTGTGCAAAGACAATGTGAAAAAAACTCTTTTGTGCAAAAAATACTTTCGAGACTGGCCATTTTGAATTGACACTTGACAAATTAATTGTATATTGTAGGAAACAATATTGTTGTACATGGTTGCTCACTTATTGGTCAAATTTCCCTAACATGTTTTTCCATACACTGTTGTAGTAAAAGTGAAAACATCAAATAAGTAGACATGAAACAATTAGGTGGTAAAAAAGCATGACATTAAAATTAAAATCGTTAATAATGAAATTTAGTACGTAATTTCGTATACAAACAGAGTATTTTCAATATGAACATAATAGCCCAACATAATACTTTTAAGAAAGCCATCACAATAATCAAATAGAGAAGGATTTATTAATTACGTTTCGTCTTTAACTTAAGACATCTTCAGATTAATTGAATTAATATATATACACGAGGTTTTAAATACAAGCATATAAACAAACAAACAAACAGAGTATTTAAACAAACAGAGTATTTGGAAGTAATTGTATATATTGATACAATATCACAACACTGTCAGAGACTTTAAACTAATTGTTTCCTTGACAAGTCCAAGATCATGGGGAAAATGTTTCTGAATGTAACTGAGACTAGTTATTCAAAAGCATAATATAAAATCACGGTCTTCGTTACGACATGGAACAAGCTTTTAAACTTGACCAATAACTCATCACATTAATACGTTTGACAAATAAAAAAGAATGAATTTCTATTTAAACAAAAAAGCAGAGGAGTTTGCTAGCTGATTGCAAAGAAACGTCAATGGAAAAAAAGAAAAATAACGCAGACATTTTATAAAACAATGAACGATAGGTTTAGCTCATCACAATTTCATAAAACATGAATGTACAGGTTTACAATTGTTTATTAAAGATCAATTTTAACCATAAAGATCGTCGTTTGATATACCTTTAAAATGAAGCTCATGAGCTGGGTCTATCTCTAAAATTTGTTCCTGCTTCGACATGCCAAAATCTTAGGTAAGTACGTTCACAATATTTATAAATCTTCTCCAACAAAGCACAGAAAATTAATCCGAATTTTTCCAATGACGTTTATTCTCGAACATGTCGATGGGTGACGATGAAATCCGGTTAACCGCGACAGAAAACGATGTTGACTACGACGTGCGCTGCAGATAATTGGGAAATCGTTGAACCAGGGATTACAAACCACAAAAAATTCAAAAGAATGCTTCTTTAAGCTTTGAATCAGGTTTCTAAGAGTATCAAAAAAGTCAGTGTTGGCTGTCATTTACGTAAATGCATTTCATAAATTATAAAAACACTTTGAAGTTCAATAATTCCTAACAAAGGGCCTAAATAACGGGTGCATTTTATTTTGCGCGACATAAATCTCAATCTCTTCTGCAAGAAAATTATTTTTGTTTCTTTTTATATAAACAAATAGAAAGCAATGACTGAAACTTAATGAGAACTTGCTTGTTTTTGCCACAACACTCACATAATTGGTTTTTGAATCGGAGGTAGAACTAAAAGAATATTTTGCTGGAGGTCTCAATTTAATGGCGGAAGCACTGTTTTTAGGTGAAGGAAGGAATGAAGTAAACGGTAAATAAAGTTTCGTTGTTTCGTTGTTTCATTGTTTTCATTTTTACAGAGAAGTAATTCACGTTTTAAAAGGGTCGACGTGTGGCTTGTGGAGAGTGAAATTACTGATTTCTGCCAATTTCACATTGCATGGATAGTAAAATTCCCACTCCCTACGATAAATACCTTATGAATCCATTTTTCTTTCTCCACAAAAAATTTATATGGCTTTTAAATCAATTTTAAAAATTTAAATTTCACTTCGAAATCAAATAATTTATTCAAGAAACTTAACACTTTTTGCACCACAGTCAAGAGTTTTGCTTTAGCAAAGACTACGAGTACGACTACGAATACGACTACGAGTACGAATTACGTCATTTTGACGCGAAAACATTGTTGCGACAACAACAACACGTAGCCGTCATCAATCTGAGCAGTGGCGTAGCTAGCGGTCCTGCTACTGCCGCCCGGCGGGAGTAGAAATTTCCCAAAAAATAATAAATATTCCATTTGGAGATTAGATATACATTATTTCACAAACAATTTGTAATATTATGTTTTATTCGTTCATTTTCACGCTTTTATTCGGTGGTTCGTAATCGTAATACCGCAAAATCTCAAGATTTGTCTTGTAACCTAACTCGCACATTTCAAGCGTGCTCGGGCGATTTCTCCACGTATTCCGCCTATCTTCAGAAAGCGGAACATACAAAACAATTCTATATAAGAAATTTTGAATTCTGGTTGGCTAAGGGACTTGGCGCATGCTCAAATCTTCTGTTTGTATAGTGAGGGGCAGTGATAAGTTTGATTCATTATGTTTTAGGGGACAATTGTCTCCGGCGTAACGTTTCTCTGCGCCTCCTTTAGTACCTTTTTAACTAGTTGCAGTTTTGACGATTGCCACATTAAGATTGCCGCTAATAAAAAGGGTTTTTATAACTTATTGTACAACAAATAATTCGCCCTCCAAATCGCAGGAAATGATGTTTCCAGCGCTCTAGATTTTAAAATTTTCCGAGAGAGCATGCCCACGGACCCCTTAGTGGGAAATCGTTTCTCCGATAGTGAAAATTCAAAAATATAAAGACATGTATACAATATGTTACATGTTCCAGAATAAATTTTTAATTATATATTTTATTATGGGGTGTATTTACTTAACCTGACCGTTAATACAGTTTCAAAACAATGAAAAATTAAGTTCGGGACATAGGAAAAGGTGACCGCATCCGCTTAATTGATGTGACCGATTAATGAAGGTCACTTTAATAATATTTGTAGTATGAAATTTTGTGTACTTTGCGATATGGCCGCTTAACACATGGTGACCGCTTGATACGGTGCCGCTTAACACATGGTGACCGCTTGATACGGTGCCGCTTAATACAGGTTCTACAGTATATTTGTTGGAGTTAAAGATCGAGAATGTACATCTCTATGCATACAGCCAGAAAATAAATTAAGCAAGTTTTTGTCGAGGGTTGCATTGAGAATAAACATCTACACAGCTAAAACCAGTTTAATTTAACACTATATTTGCGGTTACATCGAAAAGAAACATTATGAACTGGCTACATAACAAAAACATTATCATATATGTCTTTATCAAGGATTAAATAAAAAGTAAACATCTATAAGGAAAAAAGTCTTTTCGTATATGTTTTTATTAAGGATTACATTGAAAATAAGCATTGACATAGCCATAAACTACTTTTAGCTATTTTTTTATAAGTGGTTATATGATGAAAAATGTTTTTCACAACAGAAGCACAGATCTTTCAGTATCTTTTTATAATGCGATGTCCCAGTGAACTGTTAACCTTCTGTAAAGTCGTACTCCATTTGTCTTCGGGGATATCTTCAGCATCAAACTTGATATTGAGGCCTTTCTCAAAGACAAGGAGGTAGGTGGACCCACCAAACTGAAATGTACCGATCATTTCACCTAAAAAAATGAAAAACATTGAATAGGAAGATTGCAATTCAATAACAATTTACAAAATATGATTGTTAAAACTAATGATGGCAAGAATCAAAAGTCAATTTATACCAGTAAGTGCTTGTTGCTTAAAAAGTTTCTTGTTCCTCCAAAAACGGTTTCCTCACTCTTTGGAGCGAGAAATAAATCTTAGAATAGCTTGAATTTTTTTTATCCATTATCTAAGAGACACATAGTCACGCACAAGCATAAAACAACGCTGGAAGCCGTCTATCAATAAGTCATTCCCTCCCAGCCCTTGATTGCTCTACTAGAAATAAGCTGAAGGATCGCGTTAATTATTTATGTTTCCTCAACTTACGACTTTTGCCACAATGAAGGAAATTTTTACATAAATTTTTGAAGAGTAACATACATTTTTTCATAAACGTCGTCTAGAGATTCCTCAACAGAAAAAATATTTCTCTTTTGTTGACAGAATGATAAAATTGTAAAAATATACTATTTAGGTGTATATAGGCTAAAAATGAGTCTGCAGCTTGTAATTTAGTTTTCCATGTATGTTTGATATATGATATAATACATTTATAATAACTTTTCCTGGCCACTTAAAGTACCGCCCCCGTAAATTGTGACCCCGACATCCTCCCAATTACACATCCTCCCAATTGACTTGTTCTCAGGTATTATTTACCTTTTTTTACCTCCTGACCATAATAGGCCTGTATGACACAGCTAGATATTTCAGCCATTCCTACAGCAATGAAAATCACCGTGCCAAGCTTCTCCGTCTCGATGTGCATTATGGCGCGATTATCCACATGACTGAGATAACGTTGGGAGTATGTGTTGGCTGTTGGATCGTAGCCCATGGAAAGAGCTTCAGCATAGTAGGCACCTTCTTTAATGTAAGCTTTTATTATCTTGCCGTCGACCTAAATGGATTTGTGATTGACAAAAAGCAGTTGGTGCCTGTTTTATTATTTGAAACAGGTAACACATGTATACTATGCTTAAGATTTAAGAACAGCAGTGGCGTAGCAAACTCGTTGATTGGGAGGCACATATTCATATATTTCGGCTGCATTACGTCTCATTGAAATCCATTGTTTTCAAGGGATTAAGACATGCATATATAAATTTGTGCCTCACCCTCCCAATTAACAAGTTGGCTACGCCAATGAAGAACAACTACAAATGAAAACCATTTGCAGATTTTGGTCAAAAGTCACTGTCATGTTGTTTTATGTCAATGTCATATGAAGGTCATGTATGTTGTTATACAAAAAATCACATTTCTTGTCATAGCAATGAAGTCAATTGCTTTTTCCCAATAACCTCACACTTCTTATTTCTATATAAATTCTTAACCTTTTACTTGGCAGTACAAGTTTTCAACTGTTGTTGTGCTCCACTTTAAGTAAGTTCTTGGTTCATTGACTGTTCATTTTGTTAAAACCATTTTCTCTCATGGCTTACAAAATTCGCTTGAAAACAGTTTTCAAACTTTAAAAACCAGCTCGAAAAGTTTAACAAATTTCTACAGATGGGAATGTCTCGTTTGCCTCATGGTTGTTATGGCTCTGTTACAGTGTTCGTTCTCTTATTGTGAACTTTTAATTACTGTGAACTTTAACAGGCTTTTTACCCTGAAATGATCACTGTTTATATTCTTACTGTCAACTATAAAAAATTTAGTCTCTATTCTTACTGTGAACTAGCTAGCTAAATAATTTAGATGTAACAGACGAACAATCATGTGTGACCATTGTAGATGCAGTTATGCTTGCTTGAAAGAATATGACTCTTTTAAGTAAACTGACTTTAAAATCAAGCGTAAAATATCAAGCAGAAATCATTTAAGACAAAGTGTTACACAGCAAAAGCATAAGATTGCCTATATGCTTACCGGCGAGTGCCAACGATGGTAGTTAGCTGTGTCAAGAAAAGCTTGATAAACACTCCCACCAACATACTTTTTGCTCAATTCATCATCGTCCATCAGATGCTGCAAACTGTACGGTTGTTCTTTGATCCAGAAGTCATCACGGAGTTTGGGATCCTTGGAAATATAATAAGGTATGGCGTCGCACGGAGAACAGAATGCGTAGGGGTTGTCCGGTTCGGCAATTGGTCTCACGGTGTCGTCCTTGAGTCGCCGAGCAAAGTAATCGTTCCAGCATGTGAAACCATAGTACGGATCTTTAAGATCGACTTTGAACGTATTTAAGAAATCTCCACCCATTTCGTTCAATGCTTTGGGACAAAGCCAACCATCCTGAAAAATTATACGAACGGCACAGCTGAGTGCCGACTAAAAATTTCATTTCATTTTACCTGGAAGCATGCTTGCATTTTTATCAAGTTATCAACTAACTATGAAAAATACATTATATGCCAACTGTCTCGCAGTATTTATTTTGATCATTAGTTATGAGAGTATAACAAATCATTTGAAACAAATAAAATGAAAGCAAGGGATGTTAACAAATTAAGGGAAAAAATGCAAAATCTTTAACTTACCACTCTATTTAACACTTCCTTTGAGTCAGGGTGGTTCAAAAGCTGTGCCCAAGCGTTTAAAATATCTTTGAAGCACCTGTTAACTTTGTCATTTATAAATGCCATTGTACCAGAAGGGGTTGCCATTACGTAAATCAAAAGATGATTCAGAGGTGCACTGCCAAGTTGGCATCCATACACAGGAGCGGATTCAATGACTGGTTGCATCTTAAGAAGCATATCCATATAATCCGAGATGGGATTGGGCTGTGGTGGCTCAAATTTCTGTTCAAACATGGTGGTGAATAGCATGTTTACTTCTGGGTCAGATTCGATGAGTTCTTGTAAAGCAACCAATGCAGGATGGGTAACCGTCGTGGCCTTCCTCATCATGCTAACGTACTTACAAATTACTTTCAAATCAGCTTGGACCCATCGACCGATTGTGTAGGTTTTTGACATTTTGAAAAAGCAGCAAACCAAAACTAGTAAAATATAATGCAAGTCACTTACCAGTTAAAAGTAAAAGAAGAATATATTTAACATTGCATTAAAGGTATTTATTTTGCCATGTATATAATTTATACTAATAATTTACTTGTGTTAATAAAGAGGATTTACTATCCTACGTGGGTAATCTGGCACAAACAAATAAAAGTGCAAAACAACTTTTTTTCGTCAAACAAATAGAGATCCAAAAAAGAATCTTTTTGGACATTTAACAAACTGTCATTGCTGTTAAAACTATGATTCCATGAAATGTATTCAATGTACTTTACCATTATAAATCAAGCTTTCATCTGTTTGTAATCATTTGTATAAAGTACTTTCAAAACAGAAGATGTACAGTAAAATAAACTAACGTTACAGTAAATGTTATAAAGAACGTATCAGGATGAAAAAGAAGAATTTGAATTGACGAATTTAATGAAAATAAACAGGCTTTTCTCAATTAGGGACAAAATCGGCTATGATTTTGTCCATAAATCTCTTTCAGTAATTCTTGATTTCTTTCATTTTGACTTTATGTTGGTTTTTCTGGCAAAATCAACTCTGAGTTTAAATCATCGATCTGCACGAATGTAAAGACGCTGAATCTTAAACGCTATCACGACCAGCACACTCTTTCTGATTAATAAATGTTTCTACTAACCTTAATATTTTTTGTATTTATTTTCTATGGTTGTCGTTTGAAATTCTTTACCCGACACAGATTTCTGTTGCTCCTCTCTTTGCAAACAATAGGACGATTTGTGAGTAACGGAAAGCTGACGCTCTTTTATGACAACGCAGAGCCAACGTGGATAAACAACACCCCGTCTGTTATCCAATAAAATGTGAGTACCTTGAATAACCTACACACTGGCCTTTTGAAAATAAAAAGTAAGGAAAGTGCATATAGGAAATTGATAGTTAAAATAAACCGCTTATCACAAATGGACACTTTGCTCCAGTTTTGTGTTTTAATGAACGTTGTTTGGTCTGAGAATGTACAAACCTGAAAAGATTAAGCATGAATGATGAAACTAAGATAAGTGAATACAGAAAAATCGTTTCTCACGATTCACAAAAGATTAGAAAAATGTTTAAACAAATTTTTGAAGATCACAAAACGATGAAGTGAGAGCGGTGCAGATATATTAAACAAGTCAAAATAAGTAGTGATGCAATTGAAATAAATCATAAAACTTTACATGTTTGTAGTAAATGTACAGAACTTCGCAATGAAATTATGGAATCGAAGAATAAAATACGTAATGAACAACAAATTCTTTGTAAATCATAAAAAGAAGTAGAAAAAATATAAGTATCATTTTAAATCAACGGCACTGCTTTTAAATCTTATATTTTTTCGGACAAACATGTTCCAATTTAACTATGAGACTTCATTGCGAATGAATGCGTTAGCAACCTTGTTAACTAATTTTACATTTATTATCGTACATTTGTGACAGGATACAGGAATGTTTGGAGGACAAAGGGAATTTCTTTGTTGGGGGGCAGGTTTGTGTGTTCTAAATGAATGGAGTGTTAACAATGTTTACATTGTTGAGAATAGTGAAGCATGATCTGTATAAATATGTCTTAAAGAAAGAAAACGTCAACCGCAGTCAACACTCAAAATTAAGCTTTTGATACCGCCGACTTTGACAAATACACTGACCAGTCAACGTTAGCTTGGTCTGTTTTTTCAAAACTTAACCAGTCTTATGTAAACGCTCACTCGTTTTTTAACACGCCTGCAAGGAAACTCTTCTGCAACATAGCAGTAGGGTCATATATAGCTCGCGGAATGTGCATGATTTAAAAAATACTGATTTTAGATGCAAGTTAGCGTCAGCCTTGTTGCATTATCCATAGCTATCTTATTTAATTATTACACTTATTCACTAATACCTATAGAAAAAATAAATGGCTTACGGAGTGAATACCTTACAAAGTGAACTTAATGTCTTTAAAGATTCAAACAATTAAACATGAACTGAAAGTGCAGCGGCTAAAGAATTTTGTAGATATCAATGAAGCATGCTGCATATTTATTGAAAAATTCAATGTATATATATAAGACTTACCTTCCAAAACTATTTACAGAAGCTTTATTTGCAAGTATAGATCTGTATAAATATATCTTATACGACAAAATGTATTCATCCACAGTCAACATTACAAGCTCTTTATGCCGACGTCTTTTATAACTCACAGATCAGTACTCGCCCGTATAATTGATATCAACGTAAAATACTGCAAGACTATGTTTTTAAAAAATGTGTTTAATGTACTTTTATGTAAGAAAAAATTTGACTTTCATTTGTACTCAATCAATTCAATGCAGTGTGTTCTAACTATAAATTATTAATAGAATAAAATCACATTTAAAGTAAATTTCTTCAAGAGAGCGCCAAGATGCGAAACAATAATTTGCACAGACGAATTTCGTTGAAATAATTAGGCTTTGCTCAATTAGAGGAAAGGTTGCAAAAACTTTGTCTAAAAATGTCATTCGGTCTTGGTTTATTTCATTTTGTCTTTGTATTGGGTTTTTTTTTGAAAGTCAATGCAGACTTACGTCTGTGGTGAATGTATAAAACTACGTAAAGAATATATGGAATCAAATAAAAAGTTAGATATGGAGTTGAATGTTTTTGCTAGTAATATGATAAAGATGTGGTAAAACCTAAATGGACAGGAATGTTTCATTACAAATGCGAATTTCTTTGTTGGGGATCTGGTTTGTGTGTTCTAGAATGTTTAGAGTAGTGAAGCATGATCTGCATAAATATGTCTTACAGAAAGAAAATGTCCCCCACATCCTCTCTTGACAAATATATTGAACAGTCAACGATATCCCTGGTATGTTTTTTAAGGTTTCCCAGCATTATGTAAACGCTCACCAATTTTTTTAATCACTAGCCAGAAAAACCCTTCTGAAACATTGATGTAGGGTCACCCTAGATGAAAGGTTACCTTGCAAAGCATATATATGATTTAAAAGTACTGGTTTTATGTACAAGACAGGGTCACCTTTCTTGCAGGTTGCTTGGGCATCAATGGGATAACTCGTTGCCTGGTCGGTGTTACATCAAAGACGGCGGCATCAACAGCTTCTGAAGATGACTACTGGTAAGGTTGTCAAAACGCCAGTCAACAACAACAAAAACAGTCCTTCTCAGGACTATACCAACGTGGACGATCTACATTTACAAACAGCTTCTAGGGTTGACTGCGGGGGCGGTTGTTCAAAAGCCGGTTAATAATTTAACCTAGAGTCGATAACTAAACAAGAGTTAAATTCGTTAACCCTGGGTAAGAATTGTGTTGTTCAAAACAAGTTTAAGCGCTGGGTTAACTAATCCTAGGTTAAGACATTCAACCTTCGGTTAAAAAGCGCGCCAATCCAACTAAGGTCAATTATCAAGGCAAGTTCAATCAACACAATCAATCACAGATGGAAAGTGAGCTTGCATGCAAAAAGGATGTTTTTATTTTATTGATTACATAGTTTTTCATCAATTGAAAATGGCCATTTTTAAAAGTGATTTCTAGTTCTATTTAATGGCAAAGCTCTCAACTTTCCAGACTTGTCGACAATTATATCGTACAACTTTTACTAAACTGTCCGAAGCAAAGAGCCTTAGTAATTACGACTTGTTGTCTTCCCCGACAATTTGATCACGACACTATTATAAATTACATTGAAACTATGATTCATGACTTTCATTTACTGTTCTTTATAAAAACACATCAAGCTATCATCATGTATTTAATCAATTCAATACGGTATGTTTAATTTTAAAACTAGAAGTTAAAAGCGCAAGGGGAAGTGTTGCTCCGGCCCTCTTTTTCACCCATGGGGCGAGTGCTCGGAAGAAACGAAGTAACGCGCTCGGTTAGCCGACAGTAAGCTCGAGCGAGCATAAATATTTGCAACGAGCATAAATAAAATAGCTTTATTTGCAACGATTATAGAGACGTCCTAGAAAATTAAACATTAAATTCATTGCTATTTTGAATGAAAACCGTTTTTATTAGGTAAATTGAGAGCTTTTCATATTTATTGTCTACTTGTAATTGCACATTAGTTGTGCTTTTGTCCACCATGTGGTTAATGAAATATTCATGTTGTTAATAACATGAATGCACTCTCCGAGTTGATCTCCTAAAATCAGAAACTGTTAATAAAGTCATATTACTGCTAGCACTATTAAAATTTACTTTTGTCTATCATGCGTGATGCGATCAATGAAATACTCTTGCAACCAAGCAATGCAGATGCAAGAATGTATTTAGTGATTTTCTTTTAGAATTTTTGTATGTATTGCTTTCCTTTTAAATTTGAACAATATATTGTACTTTTTGAAAAAGCCTCCTGCTATACAACATATCCTTAGGAGATAAATTGCAAAAGCAAAAAATTATTTTATGATAAACATAAATGTTGTTAGCACTTTTGCCAGAGAAATTAGCAATGTGGGTGTTTCTCATAGAATTCAAGATAATGTCAACTTTCTTGACAAAAATCCGAATTTTCTGCATTAACTTAATCGTTACAATGTTATTGTGTATATTTTGTTAAATTTTATTTTCTCGTTATCAACATTCGTAAACACGACATTTGTTCGCCGTCAGTGGCAGAGCCAGACTACCTCAAAATAAATTACTGCAGCACATTTTGGCGTATATTTATATTTCTAAAAACCTAACAGGCAAATCCATTGGTAAAATTATATTTCTTAGAAATTAAAAACCAATATTTTTTTTTGAATGTAATTTGACTTTTAAGTTTCGGAGCTATAATTTGTTTTGACGTACACTGGATTCGCTACTGGTCAGTTTGTATTAAATGAAATATGAGATCATCCATATTAAGCATAAATTTACACATGAATTAACTAGTACATTTAGCCAGGTAGAAGTCATTTTAAAGAAAACCTCAATTTGAATGAATGTCGTATTAAATGTTCCAATTCTTTTTTCTTAATACAGTTCTGTTAGATGTAGATCGTCCAGGTTAGTATAGTCCTGAGAAGGACAAACATGTAAAGATACTCCCAGGTTTAAACCATTTACTTTATTACGATCATTTGGACGACAGAGCGAACAACTTGCTAACGACTACATACCTTTTGCCAGCAACGTCAGACACATACGCCAACAACTCTGGTTTAACCACCGCTGCAAAGATTTTGGTCTCGTTACAGCAGGACTTAGAATTAAGTCCACGTTGAACACACAAGAGGCTATTCCGATTGTCAAATCCACCAGCAGACGACCGATACGAGCGCGGATTAACGACTGTCACAGACGAATCAACTATTACATCAAGCAACAAGAACAAAGACTGAACAAATTAAAGGAACTCATACCAACGACAGTAAGTGACACTTTATTTTCTACGATAAAACTATTGCAAAGAAACGAGCAAACAAGACAGAGACACAACACCAAATAAAACAACAACAAAAACTTGAACGTTTAAAACGCAGTAAAACACGTACAAGATATAAACACGACGATAACTGGGTGAGGAATATTTCTTTCCGCTCATTAGACGAAACTGAAACTAAAACATTCCATAACACCTAAAAGAATCCCGACTGAGACGATGGTATATTAAGTGTCGAGGCTGTCGTAGCGCATCATAGATACTTGTCAGAGACAACCAAAGACGAGATCAGAAGCAAGGTAGCCTCCGCTTTACAATCGTCCTCTACACGTGACAAAAACTTGACAAAGGACGAGCAACAAGCACTCAAACGACTAAAACACGACAAAACATCGTCATTTTACCAGGTTAGGTTAGGTTAGGTTAGGTTAAAAGGTTTTTATTATTCATCTTCAGATTAAAAAGTACGATGAATTTACATTGATTTTCTATATATTTATCATACTATACTAAGATTACATGTTAACTTTATTTTATATATATTTACAAGATCTAGCAATAAAGGATTGTTTATGACGTTTGGTCCGGGATAAAATACTATAAGTTTTGCTTTTACGCAACTCGTGCGAATTTTCTTTGGGATAAGGTACTAAAAATTTGCATGGATGATCAGGTTCCTCTATAATCCTTTTGATATCTTGGGTAATTGCCAGTTCACGTCTGCTTTTCAAAGAGGGCAAGTAGTTTTTATCTAGTTGTAAAATTTTTAAACTTCTTCTTTGTACACGTTCAATTTCTTGCTGTAAAAAAATGTGGAAGTCCTGCCCAGACTCTAATACTGGTCTTATTTTTGATGTATATGTTAATAATCCAACATCTGAAGGTAATTGAGACTTCCTACAAAGTCGAAGATGATATAGTCTTTTATTTGCCTTGCATGTAATTTGGTGTACATGTTCATTCCATTTAAGATCATTTTGACATGTTACACCAAGAAGTTTGAAATTAGTAACTCTTTCTATTTCTTCTTGTCCAATAAATAGGGAGGGTGATTCTTGTATTGAGTCCGTAAAGCATATCAACATATCCTTTGTTTTTTTCGGATTCAGAGCCATTCTGTTATTATCAGCCCATTTCCGTAATTCGTCGATTACTTTTTGCATGGAACTGCATTCACCTCTTTCGACAATCTGGTTCTGAGTGCAATCATCCGCATATTTACATGTATTAGCATCTATTTCTTTAGGAATAGTGTCCTCTAAATCATTTATATATACATTAAAGAGCACTGGTGATATGACAGCGCCTTGTGGCACGCCCAAAGGGCAAGGTTGGCTGGATGACCTGGCTCCTTGTAGGTTGACTTGTTGCGTTCTTCCTGTCAAAAAACTTCGAATCCATTGCCAGAAAGACTTATTAATTTTCATAGATGCTAATTTTTGTAGTAATATATTGTGATTCACCATGTGAAACGCCTTTCGAAAATCTATAAATAATACGTGAACTCCCTTTCTTCCTAATTGAGAATTATCTGTTGCATTATACCAATTTTGTGTCATAGATATTAGAGCAGATACAGTAGATCGGCCATTAGTAAAGGCATGTTAGTTACTCTTTATTTTAAAATCTGATTTATTCAAATGGAGTTGAAGTTTGTCTATTACTTTAGCCATTTGAGGAAGGACAGATATAGGTCTGACGTCATTTTCAACATTGCTTGGATTATTAACTTTAGCAACTGGAGTTATTAGTGCATGTTTATATTGGCTGGGGTACTTGCATTGTTTTATACTTGTGGTTACTATATTGTGTACGACTGGTGCAAGATCTTCGCAAAAACGTTTAAGTATCCATGCCTGAATTTTGTCATCTCCTGTTGCTTTTCTGGGATTTAGGTGCTGTAGACAACTCTTGACCTGTCCAATAGATGGTAAAGGAGGTTTAATATCTTTAAGCGTTTGGTTGATCAAGTTATCTTCAATTTCGTAATTGGGATATTGGTTTAACCAAGGTTTTGTAAAGACTTGTTGTAATTTTTCAGCTAGTTCCAGTACATTTTTATCATTAACATTTCTTTTTACATTATTCCCGTCATTAATTCCCAACACTAAGAAGATTGATTTACACCATTTTTTAGGGTTAGTCGTACGAAAGTCTTTTGCTTTTCGTTTGTAATATGAAATTTTGGTGTTGTTTATAAGTTTTGAGACATCATAACATAGTTTTTCATAACGTGCTTGATTATTACAAGAGAAAGCACGTTGTCTGGCTTTGATCTTTGATTTTATAAAGCTTGTCATCCAAGGTTTATCTGAAGTATGCATTCGTACTGTTTTTTCAGGAATAGTTTCATCCATAATACTAACCATCGTCGATGTAGAAGCATTTACTTTTTCATCTACATCTTCTGCATTAAAGACCTCCGACCAATCTTCAAGAATAAGTTTTCTGCATAAGACATTTACTTTTCCAGGTGTTAAGAGTCTTACCCTTCTGGGAATTTTTGGTGTTTTTTCTTTCTGTTTTGGTACTAATAGAAGGCATTGGTGATCAGAACGTCCCAAAGGTGGTAGATGCTGTGTTGGTTTGTACATATCTCGCATATTGGTCAAGACTTGATCCAAAACGTTTTTTCCTCTGGTTGGGTATAGGGTAGATTTTTTTAAATTGAAACAATTACATAGATTAGTCAAGTTTAATTTAATGAAATCTCTAGCAACTATAATTGCAGAGGATGGACGTTCACATAGTAACTGATCTAAATTTTTGATGAGATATTCAATCATATTATGTTCTTTTTCGGCACTTTGCCCAGGTGGATGATAAATAATGACGATGATAATTGCACTAAATGGGCGAGGCGTTCTTGTTGGTTTAAGTACTAACCATAGCACCTCTTTATCATTGTCTTCATCAAATAACTTACGACTAACAGGTATACTTTGATGTACATAAGTAAGAACTCCTCCGCCAAGGGTGGGTCTGTCTTTGCGAAATATTTTGTATTCATCATTAATCGATATTGCTGTGTCTGGTATATTTGGAGAAAGCCAGGATTTTGTAATCAGTACAACTTCAGGACCATTATTCATGACGACTCCATGTAGTTCATCAATTTTATTAGTTATATGAATAAGGACTCTTGGTCATGGACAGGAATGATTACTTCGACAAAATGGACACCCTTCTTAACGACAGACAAACGTACGAACAACTCAGACGAGACCCAACACCATCACTACTACGCAAACTTAACAACAAGATCTTCTCTATGAGAAAATCTAACATATCTGAACGCATTTATTATCGACTCAGATGTTCAGTACCACGACCACCCAGATTATATGGACTACCAAAACTTAACAATACCCATACGACCAATTGTATCATTCTTCGTTTCGCTCAATTACGAACTCTCAAAGTACTTGACTGGCATATTGCAACCACTTACAAGCAAATAAAACACAAGCTACAATCCACTGAGACTTTCATTAAAAAACTAAGTACTATTCAAATACCGAACAACTATATACTAGTGTCTTTTGATGTGAAATCAATATTCACCAGTATTCCACTTAATCTAGCGCTTACTTGTACAGAAACCCTCATTACAAACACAACGGACGTACTTCCATTACCGACAGAAGACATTATGGATCTACTGGAGCTCTGCCTCATCTCGACTTACTTCCAGTACAGAGGTTCCTACTACAAACAATTACATGGAACAGCAATGGGCTCACCCGTTTCACTTGTTATTTTATTCTAAAGCCATCATCAGAGAGATTATACATAATATAAATCATATAACGTTTCTGTTGTGGTTGCTGAAATTGTAATGCAATCTATAGAGGAACGGGCGTTTGCGACTTACAAACATGCACTACCTTATTGGTTCCGTTACGTAGATGCCACAATCACAGCACTACATGCAGACGAGATTGACGACTTGCACACTCACATCAACAAACAGAGCAGCCACGTACAATTTACCAAAGATGTCGAAGAAAACGGAATTCTTTCTTTTCTCGACTGTTTCGGAAAACAGGACACTCAAAAACTACGAACAACAGTTTATCTCAAACCAACACGCACTGACCGACTACTAGACCAATCATCTTACAACCCTACATCATACAAAGCCACCACAGTCAGAACATTAACAAGACGTGCACAAATCATATGTGATTTACCGGATGCTCTACACAATGAAAACAACTATCTCAAACGTGTTTTTGACAAAAACAACTATAACTCTGACTTCACCAAATGCAACACTTACAAACACAACAAACCCAACGAAACGAACAACTCAGAGACATCAGCAACGATACGTTACATCGAAGGTACGTCTGAGACCATCTCGCGTATCTTACGACCATACAACATACGTGTCGCAAATAAACCAATCACAACGTTACGACAAGTGCTAACGAACATAAAGGACAAAGAACAACCCAACGAACGACAAGGTACAGTTTACAAAATAAACTGCTCCAACTGCCACGCCTCCTACATCGGGGAAACTGGCAGGAACTTAAACATAAGACTTACTGAACACAAACGAGCTACAAAGTAACAAGACAAAATTAATCACATTGCCTAACATCACCAACTCACAAAGCACAACATTGACTGGGATTCGGCAAAATGACAACGACTATAGACAACTGACTATAGACAACGGCTTACATTAGAAAGTTGGTATACCAACTTGAAATAAACCCCCTGAACAAATCACAGCAATTACCGGCACCTTACAAACGACTTATTCACAATACAAACAAACGACACCCAAACAACTAAAAACATTACTCTTCACACTAATTCACAATGTTAATACACAATCGACACCCACACATTTCCTGTACAAACAATACAACGACGTAAGAACCAGATAACAAATACGGCTACTTCTCATTGAGAAGTTTACTTCTCATTTGACTCTGAAGATGACTGTCGAAACGTCAGTCAACAACAACAAAAACAGTCCTTCTCAGGACTACACTAACCTGGACGATCTACATTTACAAACATGTAACGATACTCCCGGGTTCAAACCATTTACTTTATCCTTGAATAAAGTATCATATAACAAAACAGGATAATAATTTAGTCACATTTTGTTACTGCAAACTCTTGTATAAGTTAACAGAATTTTGCTTACGTGAGCAAAAGTATTTAACAATTGATTTCTACTCTTCTTTCTTTTAGCACTAAATAAATCAATTCCTTCGAACTTACTTAGTTTGTTAGGACTCACATCAAATATGATAACTGCATGTAAACTGCTCTTTACTTACTGTTCTAACAAGAAATCATCATTATTTCATAAATGTATTGAAGTTATCATAAAAGTATGGGATTTCCAGATCATTACACAGCTTAATTGTGCCTTCCAGGATATTCTGAGCATTGATGAGTTCAGCGCAATGGAAATTTATGTTAATTTATGGATTACTTTAGATTTTTTCATCAACCTTCGATTTAACACGCCTGAAAGTATCTTCTTGCGATTTAGCATTGATAATATTTACTGAATAATTTTGCGTACATCCTTCTTTATCAAAACGTGACACAATCATTCCATACATTCAGATGATTATTTTTGCACTAAAAATCCAAGATTTCATCATCTAAAAGTATATCATGCTTAAAATAGTTTTTCATGTATCTTTTCATCAAAGAAAAAATAGTCTGCAATCTAGATCCGGCATGCTTGTTATCCAGTTGGCAAGAACTTGAAATCGATGCTCTGTAATTGCAAATCCCCTGTTGCATAGGATTTCATCAACAGCATTTCTTTCTCACAATTTTCCAATGGTTTCTTCTTCATCTTTCAAAATTATTAGGAAATAATTCTTTTTAGTTTTGTGTGCTCTTATAGGACGACACCATATTACATCATCCAACAAGATATGACAGAAAATAAAACACTGATAAAGGACAGCAATTGCAGGCATTAAATCAGAATTTATTTTTAAATCTAATACTTAAAAAAAGATCTATGATATCCTTTAAGTAATTACCTGCAGGTTTCTGTGTTGATTAGTGGATATTTCTGGGGCCGGTTGCGTAAAGCCTGGGTAGCGTTAGGCAACATATTTTACGATAATGAAGTCGGACTCATAGGAATAAAATATTGCGTCAAAGAATAACACAGCATTAGTTGCAAAATTGCAAAAATTTTGGAAAAATTGCATATTTGGAAATGTAACGTCAAAGAAAGAAATAGACCATCGACAAGCCTATAAAGTATTTTCTCAAATTTTAGTTTTATTGTTATTTTTCAAAGTTACATTAATCATGCATTAATCACCAAGTTAAAGAAATATCAGTAATACTAAAAAATACACTTTTTATTCTTAAGAAAATCACATTTGAATTCACTTACCTGTCATTGAGAACAATAAATTCTCGTACCATTAAAACATAGAAATTTGGCAATGTTTTAGCGATTAAATTGATGTAAATGGCGTAAGCAGTTTGCTAAGATGATGATGACATAATTGGCAGCAAAATGATTTGTGGATAAAACATTTGTTTATTAGCACGTGGCTTGGAGATTGCATTTTTGAAATGTGAAAAGAAGAGCCTTACATCAGTTGGGACACAGGAAGTAAAATTGTCTAGCGTTCGCCATTTTTGTTCTAAAAGCCAGCAAATATAGAGCATTAAATTGTGAAAAAACAAATTTTTGATTGCGTTTTCTTATTCCTTAATACACAGCGATTACTAAGCTAGAAAAAATTTATTGCAATGGACGCAATTTATACGCCATTAATACCGTTTTTGCCATAAGGGAGCGCGTAGGTTTCTATTCTTCAACGCTTTCATTAATTGGCATTATTAGGTATATAGCAAAACATAAAATCATTGCAAACATTTTTCATAATTTATCTCTGGAATGAAAAATGTTTATAATTTGCCCATTTAGAACAAAAATGGAGACTATATACCCATGTCACCTTTTTACCCAATCCCCAGGCCACAATGGACTCATACAACAGGGCTTTGGTGTAACGTTTTTTGGAATGCTTAATGCAAAAGTCAGTGACAATCATGGCTACACTTTCGTCCCATTTATTCATATATTGCAATACTATAAATTTGCAAATATTTGCACAACTTGAAGTAAAAAATAACAGAGAATAATGGACTTAGCAAACCAAGTAAAGTCCAAACAAAATGCGTCATTGCAAGATGAGTACAGCAAGCTCCCATCTAGACACCAAAATATGTTTTTCAATTTTCTTTTGTACGTCTCGGCCATCAATAAAGTCGTGAAGATATTTTTTCGCCTATGGGAAAAAAAGACCTGTTTAGAATGTTACCCCTAGGGTCGCCCGATGTCGGTGATTGGAGGGTGGCAATTTCATATATGCAAGACCGACATTACTAGTTTCAATTAAAATCAATATTAGTTATACGTTTTAACACAAATTAAGAAACATAAGAATATATGAAGATAGGCTCCCCAATTATCAATCTTGTGCAGCCCGTAAACCTTATTTATATTCCAATTCAAAAACCTTTTTAAAACATCATTTTCTACAAACACAACATCTTTGATTAACATAATTTTCTATTGTCGTTCTCTGTTCTCAACAATTCCGACGATCTGATGCCCATTTTTAGGAGGTATTTTAGTGGTGAAAAGTTCATAATATTGTGTCAAAGGGTCAATTGTGGAAAATTGTTACTTTGAATTTAATTAATGCACGAGAACAAATATAATTACGGTAATTATATTACGACTGCTTATTGGGAAAAAGGGCTCAAAATACTAGCGAAAAAGTGGTGACTGTATGTGTCATCTTAAATCGATAATCGTCGTACAAATATTGTAAAACGCTTAATCGATCACAGTTATGCAAATATTTGATAATCGATTTTGTTTTTATGACATCGGAAATTGCCGAAATACGCTCGGTTTGTTTTGCCACGCATGCAACATACCTTAGCTCAAATTGCAATCATTTCGCAGGAATTTAATGAAACGGCTTGGAAATAATGAACTCGCATAAAATATTTATGATCTGGTGTGGTTTTCTCCTCTGAGTTTACTTCTCACAGATAGAAATCATGTCTTATAACTCAGACGATGTCCGGCAACATAAAGACGAATCAAGTGCATGGATAACTCACAAAGGACGTGTCTTCGATATAACTGAATTTTTGAGCCGTCACCCTGGGGGGAAACAGGTTTTGCTGCCAAAACTTGGAAGCGATGTCACTGAACTCATGCGAGATCCGCAAATACACAAACACACGAATTTGGCATATAATATGCTGTCAAAATACTATATTGGCAAGTTGAGGATCGAGGTCAGTACTGTACATCGTTGTTTGTACTTTAGAACTAACTTTCTAACCTGGAATGAAAGTTTATTATCTGTGTCTTAGAACGAAAAATGTTGCGAAGTTTGTTTTTAATTATTCTTTTATTATTCGGAAAAGTAGGTTTCGTTAATTTTTTTAAATATGCCTGTCCGTTATTTTTTATTCTTTTGAATAATTTAGGGTGATTATATTGACGATGATGAACCACTTAAGATGGAAGGTTATAGAGAGAATGTAAGATAATATGATTAACACTTCAGTACAACCTTAAATCAACATGAAGTAATATTTTTTGATTGTTTTAAATCTGTGTAGGAATTAGTTGACTGGAGTAAACCAATGGTTGCTCAAGTTGGTAAACTCGGTTCAGAGTACATGAAATGGGTTCATTCTCCTGTCAATAAACCATTACGCTTGTTTGGTCCGGACTTTGTTGAATTCTTTTCCAAAACCCCTTGGTATGTGGTGCCTATGATCTGGTTGCCTGTGGTAATTTACATATCCTTTGTCGGTGCAAGTCAACTTGCTAGAGAGCTTCCAAGCTTTTTGACCAATAACTTCTTTCTTCTGGTCGTATTTTTTTGTTTGTTCATGATGGGATTGTTTCTGTGGACGTTCATCGAATATGTCCTTCATCGTTACGTGTTTCACATTTCACCACCTGATAATTCACCATTCTGGATAACATTTCACTTTTTTATCCATGGTCAACATCACAAGGTACTGTTAATCATATACAATATATTAACATGCAATTGATCCTATGAATATGTTGAACATTTTTGTTTTTTGTAGGTCCCATTTGACAGCAACCGTCTAGTATTTCCACCCGTAGCTGCATCTGTATTTGCAATCTTCTTTTATAGCTTTTTAACTTTCTTGTTACCACATGGTATTGCTAACTGCTTGTTTTCTGGTGGTCTGTTTGGTTATATCTTGTATGATTGCATTCATTATTACCTTCATCATGGTTCACCAGACCGAGGGAGTTACCTTCATGGCCTCAAGAGCTATCATGTTGCACATCATTTTGAAGATTCCTTCAAAGGTTTGTGGAAAAATTTTACATTTTCTAAAATCAACTATGCTTTGTCAGATACCTATGCAACATATTTTTTGATAGCTTTGATCGCATTAATTAAGTACCATGGTGTAATAAATAGTGCTTTTAGTTGTGGTGACTCCAGATTGCTTCATCTCTCAATTATGATTTAAATGTTAAATACACTGTAATTAGGGTGTAAGAGTACAATTATTACAAATATTACATTTTTGTTTAATCATTTAGCCCTTGAAACGCACAAATTTTGAAGATTTATCTGACATAAAGGGATAATTTTAATTTATCTTGGCAATTTTCAAAACAACAAACACCAATTTGCTTGTTTGTTGCAAGCCTGTATGTTTCGTTTTTATGATATAATCAATGTCAATAAAAAATGACAAAGCTTCAGCACAAGAATTCAAGGGTTTGACTTGAGAAATCTGTTTTGAAAATATTGCTATATTACTATGTATAAACATTTCTTTTTTGTTTCAGGTTTTGGTATATCAAGTAAAATTTGGGATTATCCATTCAATACAGTCCCTATCAAATATCAATGAGCACCTTTTAAATGACTGCAATTTTAAAAGTGAAGATTCCAAGTTACTATTAAACTACATTTTATGTTGGCTTTACGTAAGGAAGTATTCATAGAAATGGAAGAGAACAGTGTTAGTCAATGACGAAGCAAACTTATTTATCTAGTCCTGGAACCAGTTGCAAGATAGTAGTGGCTCCCCGACAGTAATATTTTAAAAATTTCTTATGAAGAAAAATGCTACGATTTAGACTGGACAGTCAACAGAAAAGCTCCATTTTTGTGAAGAAAATATGACGACCATTCTATGGTCACTTCCCCCTGCGTAAATTTGGCTGAGGCGTTTTATTTCTGTGCCGATAATTATGCCCTTCTTTTGCGCCATCACAATTGATTAGGTATAATTGTTTTAACCTAGAACTTGTAGCTGTCTGCTAAACTATTTGGTTCTGTGTTTTCAACTATACTAAAATGTCTTTTAAAATTTGCAAGAGTGTTGTGGCTGTTGAAAAGTCTTTAGACCGAATTTGTAATCAGGATTTCAAATTTCAAAATACTTGCTTTATCCGTTTTTTTAATTCATCTTTTTCTGGGAAAATCGCCTCAGCCTTGCGTAAATCATAGAAAAAATAATGATAATTTAATCAAAATAAACAATAAGTAAGACTGAACTTACAGGTTAGCTATACTACTCCTGTCAGTGAAACAATAATTTATGTGTATTTGAAGAAATTAATTAATAATGTATTATTTTTAATTCTTCAATTTTCTTCAATGTTTTTTGGATCAACTGCGCAACTAGCAATGATGTGGTTTTCGTGGTTTTATCATTGAACAGGGTGTTTTGGGGTTTTTAAGACGGGGTAAGAAAGAGGACTACCCCCAACCTTTCGTCCCCTAATGGTTAACGTTGCAGGGCAAAGATTAACTTTGCATGGTTTCGCTGAACTCTTTATGGTAACTAAATGGTCACTAGTTTCATCATGTTGCTCTGATGTAAGTAGATAACGAAATCAAATGTTCACAGTGAAATTATCTTTCATTAAATTAAATTAAACACAGCATTACCTGCATGTGGGTGGCAATTCAGTTGTGCTGGGTTATGTTTTAGACTTTATCGAAGTTTCATAAAGAATTGTAATTTTTAGTTGAACAAGAAATTCGGGTAGTTTACTTTGCTGAGTGCTTTGTGTCTCATAAATAATATTATTAGTTACATTCCATATACTAGTAGTAGTTTCGTATGGTAGTCACACCTCCATGTGTGTCTCATCAAGCCAGCTTGCGAAGTCATCATCTGCTTTATGCACTGTTGCGTAGCCGCCTTCAATGCGTGTGAACGGACATTGCAGGATGATATGGTCCATATTCTGGTTGGTGGCGTTGCATGATGGGCAAGTTGGTGAGTCTTTGTAGCCCCATCCCCTGCGCCTGGATCATCACGTTGCCGTCGTGCAGGGGCTTAAGTACTTCACTGAAGGAAAACTAAGAATGATCCAAACCCGGTCTCCGAACTTCGATGTCGAACTCTCGAAACCACACCTCCAAACTCATGTTACATTCCATTAACTAAGCTAAAGAAAGTACTGTGAATTGAAATTGGTAAGACATTATAAAGTAATTTCAAAACTGTTGTGATATTACTGAGTTATACTAAACATTTGAGAATAAACCATATTTACGGTAAAAACAATTTATAAAGGAATAAAGCGAGAGAGAGAGCGAAAAGGTGATGGCTACTACATTAATTGCTCTGTTTCTCGCTTTACTTTAAGTCGTTTTACCGTAAATATTGTTCATTCTAAAATGTTTAGTGTGACTTGGCAACTGTAACGAGTTACAAATTTTTTATTTCAAATTTTACTAGTTACTAATTGCAAGTACTCATTACTATTTACTAATGCAAATTTGAGCATGTGACTGAAACAGTTAAAAGTAAAATTTACTAACAACTATAAAAATTTGCGTACATTCCTTCGTGAAAATTTGTTGCTTGATGTTGAAGGGCAGCACTTGGCAGCACTTGCTATCTGTCATTGTAACCCCAGTGTGAGGCATTCAAATCAGGGGGGGGGGAGGATTGTCAATGTGTTTTAATTGCTCCAGGAGTACATGTTGAGGAAGCCATCAAAATATTGCTCTGTTTCTCGCTTTGTTTCTGTTCCTTTAAGTTGTTTTTACCGTAAATATTGCTCCTTGGAAAGTAAAATGGATAACTCTCTTACTGGAAAAGATATTCGTGGTCAATTTGTGGATTTTTTCGTCGCGAAGAAAGAGCACACGTTCGTTCATTCTTCCAGTGTCATTCCACATGAAGATCCTACGTTGCTGTTTGCCAATGCTGGCATGAATCAAGTGAGTTCTACTTCTTCTCTCTTACCATATTACATAAAATTTACTTAGAAAAGCACTTTCGATTTGCAGTGATACAATTGCATGACTGAATACGGAACAACTGCGTAGCAAGGCGTCACTTAATAATGAACTCAATTTGATTTAATTATCCAGTTAATATGCTGTCTGGCACCATTGAATTTAGCTTCAAATTTGTGTCTGTTATCATTCATTACAGTATAAGTCTATCTTTCTTGGAACTGTTGATCCAAATAGCGACTTTTCAAAGTTGAAGAGAGCTGCAAATAGTCAGAAATGTATTCGGGCAGGAGGGAAGCATAATGATCTTGAAGATGTTGGCAAAGATGTCTATCATCACACATTCTTTGAAATGTTGGGAAATTGGTCCTTTGGTAATTACTTCAAGGCATGTCATGATTTAACTTTATTGAAATGTGAAATTAACATTATTTGCAATTGCATTCATAATTATGTACTTACTCTCGAAATACAACCAGAAAGAGGCAATTGAATGGGCCATGGAGTTATTGGTTGATGTGTGGAAATTGCCTAAAGATCGTTTATATGCAACATATTTTGGTGGTTACAACGAGCTTCCCCCTGATGAAGAAGCAAAACAAATATGGCTGAATGTTGGGTAGTTTTATATTCTTGATGGTTTCTTTAATGGTATGCTTCATCTTTACTTTATATTCAACTTGTCTTCTTTCAGGCTCCATCCCGATCGAGTGCTTCCATTTGGAATGAAAGATAATTTTTGGGAAATGGGTGATGTGGGGCCATGTGGACCTTGCACTGAAATCCATTTTGATCGTATTGGAGGTAGAAATGCTGCATCTTTGGTGAATATGGATGATCCTGATGTATTGGAAATTTGGAATCTTGTTTTTATTCAATTTAATAGGTAAATAAATTGTGAATAACAGAGACCTGTTGCAGAAAAAATTTTGTTGAAAAAGTGTTTCCACATGATTGTTTTCTTTGGATTTCATTTTACATTCAAAGTACTTAGCAAAATAACCAAATTAGGAAATAAAAAACTCTTGGTATTTACAATATGCTTAAATACATAGCTTCTATGCACAGCACAGTCAGATGTCTACCCCTCTGATTTTGTTAAGAAGTACATCAATTCTTGTTGGAAAATTTCTCAATTTGCTTGAAAGCATATTTGCAAAGCTGTTTGGATGACAAAGTGAATGCACTCATTGCATATGAGTTGAACCACTGTGTTTATCTTCCCATAGAGAGACTGATGGCTCTCTTAAGCCTTTACCAAGTTGCCATGTTGATACAGGGATGGGACTGGAGCGAGTTGTGTCGGTCATTCAAGGGAAGAGATCAAATTATGACACAGATATCTTTATGCCAATTTTTAACGCTATTCGTGAGGTAATTATTGATATTCTGTGTTTTATTAAGAAACCTGTAATCTAATATGTTTGGTGTCTTTGATACAATAATGCAAATTGACAAAATTAATTTATTTTTATGTATTAGTTTTTATGTTTAAAGTGAACATATCACATTTTTGCAATTGGACTGTGTAGATAGATCAGAAGAAGTATAATATAAAACAAATTCCGAAGAAACAAGACATCTTGAGATTGCAAAATATCAATCAAAACAAGACGAGAAGTAAACTGTAAATTTTCGACTTTATTTCAAAGTCATCCTCAGACAGAATGATATTTAAAACCTTACATACACATATATATTTACAACGCATGAAACAAGTAAACGGAAATAAGCAATAGAAATTAAATAGTGTGATATTTACAATGAGTTGGAAGAGGTGTAGTATTACAAAAGGATGAATTGAAACTGCCGACCCGACTGGTAGAATGAGTGTGTTATAAATTAAGAAAAGAGTTGTAATTCTTTGCTAGCCTTAAGTCCTGTGTTGAGAAAAGGTTTGTTATGTTTAATGAGTAGTGCTTCAAGAAAAGCAAGAATGTGGTAGTTGTTAGATTTGGTTGAGTGAAGTATTTTATAGTTGTGAAGTATTTTATAGATCAGAAGATGTTAAACATATTTGCAATATATTTTACAATTCAAAAATTTGATTTTCATGTTTTTCTGAACCTCAAAGTTTGTGGTTATTTATTTGACAGTGAAATTAAAAAAACAGGGTGAGTGCTCAGATGTTATATAATAGTGAGAACATGCTGTAAGAAAACATTGTATTTTCCACAAAATCAAAGCTATTTTTATGCATTACACACGTATATGGCATTTTGTGTGGTGGATGCTCAAAATCATCCAATTTAAGCAAAATACATTTGACGAGTTCCCTTTGTGATGTCAGCTTTTCTATACTGGTGGTTCAAAATGAAAATGGTGAATTTTTCAACTTTGAGGGCCAAGGACACCTGCAAAATCATACTTTTGAACCCAAAAATATGTTTCATACATTTTTAGAGTTGCCTGAACTATCGAAATGAAGCAAATGCAAAAACATGATATAGTCATAACACAATATAATGAAAAACTGTTTGCTTTATAAAATTTGTAATCAATATTGCTGGGATATGTCATTTGTAGATCAAAGTCTAGTTTGTACAACACTCATTTTTTGAAAGTCATGAACATATTTTACACAGGGCACAGGAGTTCGACCATACTCAGGAAAGGTTGGTGATGAAGACAAGGACAAAATTGATATGACATATCGAGTGATTGCTGATCATATTCGAACGTTGACGGTAGCTATCGCCGACGGAGGACGACCAGATAACACTGGGCGTGGGTAGGTAATACGCATGCGCAAAGGGCCTGTTAGTATCCCACAAGCGTTATGTAATATTATATCGTACTTATAGCAACTTTATCTGAGGTCAGGTAGCTTTGCGCAGTGGCAGGATCATAGCCGATGAGGTTCATCCGAGGCGTGATTATTGCTGATTGAAAACTTATACCAATACCCCGCTAGTCGGCCTGAAATATGGCCGGCTGTGCAATTTTTTTTGGTCCTTAACTGGACCGACAATAACCCGTTAAAGACCAAAAAAAAATTAATCGTTGAACAAATAACAGTTAACACTGGTAATAATTTTCAAACAACTACTATCAGCCATTATACTTTGAAAAGTGTTGACAGTTTCAAAGTTTACCTTTTAGTAAGAATTTGTATTTTTGTATTTTTGTTACTTGAATTAAGCGAGAGTGATAATTTCGGTTGTTTTTCGTACAACACATATAATCATCATCAGCGCGCTTGTAGCTAATTTTTGACCAATTACTTCAAGTCGTGAATGAGCATAATTATTTGCGGTTATTTATTGGGATTAAGCTTACATTAATCTTTCTGATTTTTCCTGCTTGATGAGCAGTTACCTGTCTGCTTTCACTTATTTGGTGGTCTTACAAGACACCCTACTATACTAAAGAAAAGATTGCTTTTTGTAATGTGCAAATCCTTGTGAATATTTGTTTACGTATGCTTTTATAAGTACACTATTGAACGCTACCTAAGGATAGTCGATCAATTGTACGCGACCTAACCTATGTTCTTTGTACTCGGTCGATTTTTTACCTACGCTCAAGATGTTTATCATATGTCTTAGTATATGTGTCGACTTATACAACTCTCTGTATAATCATGCTTTAGCATGAGGTCTTGTCGAAAAGTTGTTTCTGCTTTCATATTTGTTGCCAACGAATGGCTTGTTTTAAAGTTGGTTTCAACCCGGGAGTATCGTTACATGTTTGTAGATGTAGATCGTCCAGGTCAGTAGAGTCCTGAGAAGGACTGTTGGTGTTGATGCTGACTGACATTTTGAAAACCTCATTGCTCTTGGCTGTGAAAATGACTACCGCTAAGGTTGTCGAAACGCCATACCCCATGCATCAACATCAAAAGTCGTTCTCAGGCCTCTACAGTATTAGCCTGTACGATCTACGTCTACAAACATGGAATCATATATTTACTGACCCGTAGTAGCACATCGCAGGCCCATAATTATCTTAGCTCACCCAGTGAACTATAATAACAACTGGAATGATAACTTCGCCGGATGCCAGCTTGCAGGTAGCTCCAGTCCCTTTTGTAAAAAATATGGCATTTTTATATTTATAAAATTTCAAAAGTAAACCTTGCGTTAGTTTTTCAGAATACTATTATATTTGAAGAATATTAGTCAAACTTGCAGAAAATAAAAAAAAATCGGCCAAAACTTATAGTATTGCTGAAAAATGTTAAAGACAAAAATTACCAAAAGTCCGCGTGATTTTTTGTTGTTTTTTCTTCGTTTTTGAAAGTTTCAGGCATACCTAAACGTTCAATCCACCAAATTATCGTAGTTCCATGTTAAATACACAATCCTGCCAAGTTTCGTAAAAAATGAGCATTTTGCCAAGTAGAAAAATGTGTTTTTATGAGCATTTCTAATACCATAAAAATATATACACCTGCAAATATATATATAAATATATATATACAAAGTGTATATACAATGTGCCCTCCCGGCTATTACCACAGTGCATTGGTGACTCCTACACTTGGGACACAGGATGTACGGTTGTATAGTATATATATAAACGGCTCAGTGTCATAAAGAAAAGTGCAAGATTCTCGCAAAAGGATTCTGGAAAAACTATTTTGTCGATTTAAATATGTAAAAATCAAGTTAATTTTTCAAATACATAGCACCCTATTCTTGTGCTGTCCGTGTAAAGCATACAAAGAGAGAAAAGAAAATGAACACATTGCATATAACGGGCCGATAAACTTGGTATAATGTATTGTTAAAAACAATCGTCCACGATTCCCGCCGTTGTTTCTCCTCGAAATATCTTGCTGATGCATACGCTAATTATGGTAGATGCACTTTTAAAGCACAAAATGAGTCAAAAAAACGAAAACAAATAATTTTTTCACTGTTTTCAACTGCCAACAAGGTAAAACAAACGTTGGTCAAAGAAAACACGCATTGTTTCAGTGGGAGTTTGGCTTCAAACGATCATGGGAAAAACTATAGCAGTTATTGTTCCAGTTGTTATTATAGTTCACTGAGCTCACCTCACCCCATTTCTCATTAGTATGTGCCTTTGCACTATTATAACAACAGTTGATTGGTATCGACATGTCGTCAATAACCTTATATTGCCCATCACGAGATGAAAGAAGAATGTTAATATTCATCGTTCTTCCATGACATTCATACACACCATAACCTTCGTGGCTCGTCCCGAGCCTCTTTCTCAAAATTTAATGATAAATACTTCATAACAATTAAACATAAAATTCATGTGTATATTATTTACCGTGTAGTTATGTTTTGCGACGTATCCTACGTAGAGCTGTCCGCTTTTCATCTGAAAAATTACACGCTCCACCAGGGTTTCTTGGCTCATTGGTGTCTGTTGTCTTGGAGACCTTGGTGAGCATTTAGGATGGTCATGGTTGTGTTTTGATGGAGTTGTTAAATGAATTTAACGTATTTGCTATTGTATTCTCGTAGGGCGAAGCTTTCCCTGAAATCACTAAAAATCCCCAACAGGTTTTACTTACATTCTAACATTCTATTTTTTGTTTTTTCCATTTCAAGATGTTCTGGTTTTGTTTAGCAAACGATTTACGAACGGGATGTGCTTGTTTTTAGGCTGTTAAAATAATCAATGAAGAAGAGGAACAGTTTTTGAAGACTTTGTCTCGTGGACGAAGATTGTTCAACAGAACTGCTGACAAACATCAAAATGATAAAATAATCCCTGGTATATATATTATACACTTAATGTACACTCCTGAGGGAAATAGTGAGTTTCGTTTTCCGAGAGTCTCATTGCATGAGACTAGATGCGAAACAAAATTCACTGTCTACCAATGAAACGTACATTTAGTGTTTTGTTATATAGGAACAAAGATCATAGATTTCGGCAGCTTTTCAATGAAGTCAACGTTTTTCAAAGGACATTGGTCCTGCGAAATTTCGTTTGAAAACAGTAGTGGATCCAGCGTTCGTGAAAAATTAATTATAGCTCTTTAATTTTAAATTGAAATACTTTCAGAAAAACACTATTGGTGTTGAATTTTCTAAAGAATATAATTTCACCAATGAACTTGCCTCTAAGATGCTTAGAAATGTAAATTTATTCTACAATGTGCTGCAGTAATTTATTTTGACGTACCCTAGATTCACCACTGTTTCAAAATGCTGCAAGGGTGACCACAGCATTTTTGGTCTACATCCAAGTATTTTCTGATTTTTTTTTCTATTAATAGTTTAATTTTGTCACTTAATAAGCTCGAGAAATGTATTTTTTAGTTTTCAGCTCCATGGCTTTTTGATGTTTTTGTAAAATGAGCGAGCAACAATTTTTCTCTTTTGTTGCATTTATTATAAGTCATGTGACTACGAATGAAAGTGTGTATAAAAAAAGTGAATCGAACTTTAATATACTATCGTGCATTTCATTTTGCATATTTTTCGCTTATATTTCTTTGTAGCAAATGAGAGAAGCACCTTAGCTTTCCAATGATATGTTTTTTATTTCCTAAAAGTCCCAAGTAACCCACTACTCCTCAAATAAAATTGTACTTCGAAATTACTTTTCCCATCCTTGGGAGTTGATTAAGGTTTCACTGCCATTTCAAACAAATAAGAATCTTCACCAATTGTATTCAATTCTTTACGACGAAAAAATGCGATTTTGGCTTGCAAATTTTATTTTGAGAATACTTGATTATTTCTGCTTGTTATGAAATTCTAAACATATTATTTAAGAGCTTCTCTCTCTTGGTTTATCCCAATTCAAACGCAAAACACTTCGTCAAATGCACAATTGCGTCTAAAAGTTTGATTAACATTTTTATGTACACACTGCTAAATTTATAAACGCGGAAATTTCGCAAGCATCTGTGGTAGGAATGGGTACTTGAACCTCCAATAGTTCATCTGACATAATCGTCCCTCCAATGACATTTTTTAGACCATAGTTTTCATCAGTAAAATAAATAAATAAATTTAAATGTAATGTATTAGTTTGGAGAAGGGGGGGGGGGCTGCGTCCGCAATGCTTACTGGCGCCACTTGTTGTAAGTAGCTATTGTTTACCGTGAAGTACTTTTGATTTCTTTAATGTATTCAACTGTAGCAAATGTTCCTTTGTGATGTTTAGGTGATGTAGCATGGCGTCTGTATGATACCTACGGCTTTCCTATTGATCTGACTCAACTAATGGCGGAAGAGAGAAGTTTGTCTGTGGATATGGACGCCTATGAAGAAAGTAAAATTAAGGCTCAGGTATTATTTCGCTTTTTCTAAAGCCGAAAAACGCGAAGATTGACATAATGTTAAAACGGATTTTTTTAAATGTGAATGAATGGAATCACGCCATAACTGATTGCTCTGGTACCAATTTATCATTTGGTGCGAGTTGCCTATTTTAATTTCGTACGTTATGTACAGATTTTTAGCCTTTTTGAATATCGTTAAAATTTTAGTGTTGGATGTTAAGTATTAGATCTTTTCAAATTTCCAAAGTTTCGGTTAGCTGAAAACATGATTATGAGACCAAACTTTATGACAGTGTATTTAGTTTGCATTGTAAAGAAAATTTAAAGTGATGAATAACTTCTTCAATAGCACTTATTGTATTATTTTTTCTTTTTCGAGTTATGCGACTTTTCTTCATTATTCAAATCACATCGTTGTGACATCACATTGCGTAATTAGCAGTAGGAAAATGATAGTTTTGTCTACAATTAGTATTAAAATATCTAACTTTTGCATCTTTGCAAATATTCATCTACTCATGTATTCATGTTTGTAGATGTAGATCGTCCAGGTTAGTATAGTCCTGAGAAGGACTGTTTTTGTTGTTGTTGACTGACGTTTCGACAACCTTAGCGGTAGTCATCTTCAAAGTCAAAATGAAGTCTTTTTGACTCTGAAGATGACTACCGCTAAATTTGTTAAAACGTCAGTCAACAACAACAGTCCTTCTCAGGACTATACCAATCTGGACGATCTACATCTATAAACATGTAACGATACTCCCGGGTTCAAACCGTTTACTTTATTACTGATATGTATTCATTAGATTGTTGTATTTGTGCATAAAACATTCTAACATTTTTAAAATTGATGATTTTTGAAATGTTATTCTTTGATTTCATAACGATGTTATATGCATAAGGAATAAAGTTAAACATCTCTAGAAAAAGGTAATATAATAAGTCATATCTTTTGAAGAGGTGATGAAGTCATTTTTTATGGTTTTTACATTACAATTAAATAAACTTTGTGATAAAATTTCATGTCATAAACACTTCGGACAAATAGAAAATTTTCATTTTAGGCGATTGCTCGAGGTAAAACAACGACTGATGAAGAAATCATAACACTCGATATTCACGCTATAAATCATTTGCAAAACGTCTTAAAACTTCCAAAGAGTGATGATGTTGCAAAGTATAAGTATGTCTCTGATGATGAAGGAAATTACAGTAAGTATTTATGAAATGAAAGATGTTTACTGTGTTTGCACATACATATCCAAACCTAGCAGACCTTTGGGAGAGCTCATGAGCAGATCATTGGAAGGCTATGTAGTTTTTGCATCCACTAATTATACACATCATGTTATAAACAGTCACAATGACAGTAAATCTATATCTGTTTTGCCTTTTCATGTTTATTGAATGTTTGAAGGAAATTGGAAGACGATAGCTTGGAAACATTTAATTCGATGTAAATGATACACTGTAAACGATGTATTAGGCAAACTAACTTTGAGGAAATCAAAATGACTTTTTGTGGTCATTTTATAAAAAAATTATATATTGTTACTTACATTCGTCTGATGAACATTTTGTTTCAACAGAGTTTGAGAAATGTAGTGGCGAAGTTAAAGCTCTACTTCTAAACAAGGAGTTTGTCTCTGAAGTTCCAAGTGGCTCGAAGTGCGGTGTTGTATTGGACAAGACATGTTTTTACGCCGAGTCTGGTGGACAAATATATGATCAAGGATATATGTCCAAGAATGATGACGACGAAGTGGAGTTTGCTGTCATGGATGTGCAAGTTCACGGCGGTTATATACTTCATGTAGGAGCATTAGACGGCGTACTCAAAGTCGGTGATAAAGTTAATTGTTTCATTGATGAGGTAAGATTTATAATAAACCAAACAGATTTGCCTACTTGGGTTGTTTGTCAAGAGAGTAATTCTGGTACAAGGAAACCATAACATTAATTGATAAGTCTTTGTATGCTGTCGTTTTTCTTGTAATTTGATTGTTTTGTAATTGAATTAATTTTTTCATTTCAGCCTCGAAGACATAGCAACATGAGCAATCACACTGCTACGCATGTGCTGAACTTTGCTTTAAGGAAAGTTCTCGGTGAAGCTGATCAGAGAGGTTCCTTAGTTGCTCCAGACAAGCTGCGATTTGATTTCACCGCTAAGGTACATAGCTACACCATGTAAAGTTGTGTATTGTGCATGACTTGGGAAGTATATTACAGGTGAGACACATAGACGGACTGATAGTTATTACTTGTGGATTTCAGGGAGCGATGAATTTCAACGAAATCCAGGAATGTGAAGTGATATGCAAGGATATGGTGGATAAGAAGATGCCTGTATTTGGGTCAGAATCAGGTCTTGCTGCAGCAAAGAATATTCAAGGATTGAGAGCGATCTTCGAGGAGGTATTTTCAAAGGGAGATGTTTTTTATTGTTGAAGTGAATGAAAAATTACCTATTTTCCGATAACCTGCATTTGTTCGGCATTTATGTTACTGATATATTTGCCCTAATTTTGGCCAATATTGATACGCTTCATTTGTTCAAATTGATGCAATAAACTATCAAACTTATTACACTTGTATTAACTGTTTCTATTTTATTTTTTGGTTGACAACCATTGAATGATAAAAAAATGCAGCAACAAGCACAACTAATCAATAATATATCAAAAACTCTATAAGAACAAAGTCGGATTCTTTTGTCCCCAATCCCAGGTCACTTATCTCATCTTGTTCATCAACCATAAGAACATTAGCGGATTACAGTAGGCTAAGTTGTCCTTGAGACGCCCATAGTATCTAAAGATAATTAATGTTTATTTCTTTGCTATTCCGGACTAGCTAAATGTGCTTAATTTAGTCCATTTATGATGTTGAAAACCGTACGAGTAGCTAAATATCGAGGAAAAATTGTTTCGTACTGTCTATCATATTTAAATGGGCGATGCTCAGAATTCATGAAGTAGTTGGTTTTCCTAGTACCCTTGACCATATCAATGATTTTCGGAGTTTCATTCGAACTTTTAAATTTTCCCTATTGTGTACACTATGAGTTGCAAAAGTAATTCATAGGCGTAGAGAATATAGTTGCACTAAAAATCATAAGTTGCAAAGGCAAAGGAGCATGGTGAGCACAAACGTCGTCTAGAGACTGAACTTAATTGTGGAATAGTTTTCACTTAAAAGTCCACAACAATGTATTAACATAGAGGCCACGTTATTAGTAAGACGCCACTGCATAAGAATACTCTGTTACGTTTGCCATCATAGCTACACATTACCTACCACAGAAAGGGAACTCTCTTAGATACCTAGTCTGTATAGATACTGATACTGTATTATACATGTTTGTAGATGTAGATCATCCAGTTTAGTAGAGTCCCGAGGAAGGACCTGTGGTGTTGGTATCGACTGATGTTTCGACAGCCTAAGAGAAGTAAATGTACTCCTCACTTGATACTGAAGACGATAACCGCTTAGGTTAACGAAACGTCATTGAACACCAACACCAAAAATCTTTCCGAGGACTCCATCAACCTGTATGATCTTTATATAAAAACGTGTAAAAAACCCCAGGTTCAAACCACTCTATTTTACTGTGGGTTAGTTGATACTTAGACATCGCTGTGAATATTGGCGTGTAACATGGTGTTTATTCTAGGTGTATCCTGATCCAGTACGTGTTGTATCAATAGGACCTCCGCTGAATGAGCTGATCGACGACCCACAAGCTGGTTATAAATATTCTGTCGAGTTTTGCGGTGGAACGTGAGTTATGCGTCCCTGTTGCTGCTCGAGAAAAAGTGACATCCTTGTTTCTACTGTTGTTTTTTGTCTTTAGGCATCTTCGAAACACGAGTCATATGAAGGCTTTCTCTCTAATCTCAGAAGAAGCAATTTCAAAAGGAATAAGAAGGATTGTCGCCGTTACTGGATATGATGCTGAAAGGGTAAAATAGATTAATTTCCCAAGCCACCTTAGAGCATGGGCCTAGGAAGATTGACGATTGCGGGGGCAGGGGGGGAGAGGAGGTTGGGCTCATATTCAAATATACATATCGTAGTCCTTTGGAAACAATTTATTTCAAATGAATATAACACGGTATGTAATGTCTTAAAGTGCCCCTGTGTTGCTTTTCTATGTTTAGGATCCCATCATACTCCTTGTAGTCTTTACTTATATCAACCTCAGGGATGTTGTCAATTTTATTTGTTATTTATAATGACCATTGTTATCAGTTTCTCGACATTTGGAATTTTTAATTGTAACCTTGTAAATGCACATTTTATTGCTAATTACGTTTTTCTTGACTGTTTTATTTAACATTATATGCTCTTTGTTGAACAGGCCATCAATCGTGCGAATACACTTCATCAACAAGTGGAGAATCTAAAAGCCAATATAACTGAGAAATTCAACTCAAAAACTCTCGATCCTAAGAAAGCGATTCGAGAAGTCACTGTTCTCAGTGATGTAAGTTTGGTGTCTTATTTCTCCCTCTTGAAGATCCCTTAAGGACTGTTTGGTTCAGAAGGGATCACTTTTCCTTGATCCTTTGTTATCCCAATACAGGAGAAAACTTAATTTATCATTTAAGGAAATTTCAAGTGCAATCATTCCTTACTGCGACAAAGATAACATGCGAAACAAATTGAAGGAAGCGAAGAAAATTGCAGACGATGCAGATCGTGCAAAGAAAGCTGCGATGACTGAAGCTGTATGTACAAATAAATGAATCCAGTATTCACGTATTTTTTAATTATATATAAACGTATGTACACTTGCGTTACGTATTTCTCAGGCGCTTGAAAAGACGAAGAGTCTTGTAGAGAATGGTGATGTGAAAGTTATTGTTGAAACACTTGATGTTTGTGCTAATGCTAAGGTAAAGTATTGTTTTAGCTTTCTTGGTAACCCTCATTTTATATACTGGGCAGAATGAGAAGAAAAAAAAGTTTAAATCTGACGATCTCAATTAGCGAAGTGTTTACGCATTTCTTGTGCAAGAAGTCGCTTTCCAGTGTTCGATTTACGCAACCACTGGCGTCATCTTGCATAATGAGAAATGGAGTAATCTGGAATATTTGTTAACGTTACCTCAAGACTGAGTTCTTGTGAAGTGTTAATGATGTAAAATTCCGCGTGAACAATTCATCAGAAAGTTTTCAGTAAACTGAAGGATATTTATGAATCATGCAGCGGCCATTATAATGTGTAAATCGGATATTACAAAAACTTCACTATCTAAATCACACAATAAGAGATGAATAAACAGTTTTAGAAAGTCAACTGTCATTTTAAGAGTTCTCCTTAAATGAAAATATAATTTAACTAGTAAAATTTTCCTTTTACTGGCCGTTTAACTGCAAAACAATTGTTAATTCTTCGCGATTTCAAGTTTTACTTTGTAGGTTTTATTGTATTATAGTCATTCCAAGTCCCTTTCCACTTATGAACCTTGGTCGTTCTAACTAATGGCGTTATAACTTATGAAGGTTCTTTGTTTTTAAAATTAGCGGCCATAATTTATTTGCCTAAAATTGAATCCTGTATCCATTACTGCGTACAAACTCTAGAGCAACAGCGTTGCGCAGGAATCGCTCCATATCTTTGTCTACTGAGACTCCTAACGGCGAGATCTTGCAACATATTTTAAGTGCATAATAGCATTTTTTGAAAACACGATCACTTGATCTACAAGGTCTATATCTCAAGACTCTTAGGGTCTGATTATATGGAGGCGAGCTGGCCAGGATAACGAGCTAGCCCGATGATTTCATGGGATTGAAAAGAGCCAAAACTTCAAGGTTTAAAATTACAACTGTTTAAGAAGCACCACACGTCACTCCGGTTGTAATTCTCAAAATAAGGCAAATTGGTTTTTCAATTTTAAATGTTTTGAAAAGTTATTAAATCAGAGTATTTTAAAATTGCATAAGAAGATTTATCTGATGATAATTATTGAATCATTTCCATTTGCCAAAATCATTTAACGCTTAACTGAGTCCCGGCTACCGTGCTCATATTATCATCTCCTGACGCAGAACTTGTTTTTGTGAAATGCTTTTTTTGTGTTATTTAGATTTTAGACACTTGTCTTCAACATGTGAAAAAGAACGCTAGTCAGACGGCAGCCATGTTTTTCAGTGTTGATAAAGATCAGCGAAAGATCATTTGTATGTGCCAGGTACCCAAGGTATGAATTTTCATTCTCGGGCTCTCAGCCAAGGTCCTGGGCACGAGATCTCCTTTCGCTCATATTCTTCAGATGTATTTTGTAATGAATGACCTTATTTTCCTTCTTTCGTTTGATTTCAGACCCATAACAAAAAGTCTTTATACATATTCTGGCAATGACAACCACGATATTTAACGATGTTTTTTTCTCTAAAATTTAAGGATTTGATTGGTCAGGGCTTAAAAGCCGACGAATGGGTCGCTTCAATTTCCTCTCTGCTGTGTGGCAAAGGTGGCGGAAAGGACATGTCCGCGCAGGCGTCTGGTCCCCGTTTCGAGTGTTTACAGGAAGCAATGAAAATCGCTAAAGAATATGCGAAATCTAAAGTGAACAATTAAAACTTTATGACAATTGACGCATGTATGATGACGATCTACTTTCGAAATATAGTTTCATTTTAATGACATTAAAATAATTTCGGAAAAAATATCGGTTAATTAGCAATTCCTTTGTCTCGCTTATGCTTTATCCATGGCTTTATCATATATTTTCGCGCCAAATCTCACTTTCCTCGTAATTTCATTGGCCGAAAAGAATCTCCTTGTCTGCCTCTTGCTGGCTTGTTGTTGACTTCGTAACAACAATGGCGGGAGACCAAGAGGCGGAGAAAGTGGACCTTAAACGAAGATTTGATAATGTTTGTAGCGAACTTAACATGGATGAACCTACGGCGAACACTGCCTGGACAATATTTTCGAATATTGGTCAAAATTACTCGCTGGAGGTAAGCAAAATTTGTTAATGTATTAGAAACACGCGTTCTTTATAGTACCAATATTTGGATGTTGTCTGTCGCGTTCTTTGTTGTGATCTACGAAACTTTTGCATTTGTTGTGCTCAATGACGATACTCTTTCCTCAGTATTACGTGTCATTATCCACAGGGAGACGGCTTACATTGGCTTGCTTGTGGCTTATATTTGTCTGGAAGGAAAGCTGTGTTACCTTCCGCGGACGACAAGACATTAGTCCGGGGAAATTGTGTTTCTTTGACACGATTGCTCCGCGAAGCAAAATTAAGGTAAACTATTCTTAAAATATTTACTATAGTAATACGGTTGACGTATTTATAAAGGAGATAACGCAATGGCCGTTTGTCTCGACTTGCGTCGTCTTGTTGATATTATGGCTATGATAGTATCGTGAGTATTGTGCGAACATCTCTTCTCCTTTTTGTTTAGTTTAATCCAATTCTTCCAAAAAATGAAGAAGTGGCTAGACATGACGAACTCGGAAGATGATTTTCGTAAAAAGATTGATCGTTTGAATCGAAATTTCGCCGTTGTTTCAGTCATCTTCAAAAAGTTTGACAATATCTTCTTCAAAATTTTCAAATCGCGCGATGCACTCGACAGCATGAAGACTCACAGATCGCGAAAACAAAGGTATAATATAGTATTTTTATGCCTGAGTTCAATTGAATTAAACTGGCGACGCTTTTCGATTATTTGATCATATTTACACCTCGTTTACTATCGGGGATACCAGCTACATTAAAATGTAACCATTACATACTGCAACTCTTTTGACTGAGTTATTGCTATTTTCATTTAAGAAAGGTCGCTTGTAGTGTGATGGAAGTTTACAAATTCTGTTGGACGTTGTATGTTCTCGCTAAAGGTAAGTTTGGGCATCAATATGAAACGAGACAATGGAAATATTTTCAATGTCCTTGATATTTAAATTTAAATGTTTTGTAATGGCAAACTTTTTATTCGGGAAATGTCGGTTTTCAAGTCTAAGCGCTTTCTTTATAACGAAGTGGTCGTGTAGAGAGTCATATGCTTTGTTTTGCAGCTTGAGTTTTGGAGGGTTTTTATTAAGCTCTTTTATAAAAATTTCCCGGGTCATTCCCCTGGACAGGAAAATCTCAAGATATTCTGGAATTTATAAATGTTTTGTCGTTCTTGAACATCTGACTCTCCAACATTTCTTCAGGAATATTTAAAGCTAGTTAAATGCAGGGCAATAAATTCCCATTTCTGAAAAGGATGTTTGTAATTAAATTTAGTTAATATTGATGATCTTTAAACATGCTTAATCATACCACCAGTTCTTGCTCATGATTGGTTAATTTTGACATCAGAGACATCCATATAGTCATTGAAATGTGTGCTGTGTGGTAGACTGGAGTAGTACTGATTGATGTTGTATGAAACTTTTAATTGTACCATCAGTGCTTGCTTGTGATTGCTTGATTTTGTCATCTGCTACTCAAATGTCTTTATAGTCTTAAAAGTGTATGTTTTTTGTGGCAATGCTGAATGATATTATATAGCACTTTAAAGCATTAAAAAGGTTATTTCTAGAGTGTGGGTTCATCAAGTTTTTTATAAAATTTATTGAACAAAGTTTTAAGATAGTTTTTGATGTTCAAGTATCCATTATTATATCGACTTTTATCATTATATAATTGTGTGTATTCAGGTAATTTTCCAGCCATCAGCGATGATCTTGTTAACTCTTACCATTTACTCCTGTCATGTCTGGATTTATTTTATTCTAATGCTGTGGGTGCCAGACATACAAAAGAAATGGTTGACCCTAACTTCACAGATGGTAACATTGATTACATCCTGCATGGTTAATGCAGGAAAAGTTTTTCTATTCCGTCATTTTTTCATTCTTTAAAGCTGTTCTTAAATACACAAACCAGAAGGAGGGAAGAACTGTTGCCAATGTTTCATGTATTGTTGCCTATCTCTGTGAAGTTTTTGATGGTAATTTAATGTATCGTTTTAAGTAGAAATGCTTAGCTAATGGAAGTTTTGCCCACATATTTAATGAAGTATTATTTAAGGAATAGAAGATGGTTCTGTGTTTGCACAGGCTTATGCAATTGAAGGAGACCTTTAGAAGAAAATTAAATTTGCAAATTCTCTTTTATTTATTGAATGATTTGATTGGTTGAGCTAAGATCAGTTTGCACAAGCTGATGCAAGCACAACTATAGACTAATCACTGCATATGTTTTATTGTTTTCTTTTATAAATAAACAGGACAATTTTTATTTGGAAAATATAAATTTATTTTTAGGTTTACAGCTTGAGGCTAAACAGATCCGAGAACATCACTGGAAGCCCTATATTGAAAAACTATTCAAGCAAAAGGTATCAAGTATAGCAATGAACATAATCATTTGTCTCAATATCAGTGGTGTAGCCAGTCTGCAAGTTTGTTCCTGCTATGTAAATATTTAAATGTTCACTCACTGTAAATACAATAGATTTCTAAAGAAATGAATAAAACTTATCATAAAGGAGTTTACATATAGCATTACCAAATTTGCAAGCTGAATATGCCACTGACCTCTATAATGCTGATCTTGCCAAAGTGTTTTCTGTTAATAGATTTTGAAAGGCGGCGAGAAATCTTTAAGTGGCTTACTGGATCTTTACAACTTTGAATCCAATTTGTAATGCATCTGATTATTCTTGATGTTTATAAGTTGTCAGTACTTGTTATATACTTGTTGGATTTGTCTTTGGTAGGAAAAATGTTTCACATGAGTATGAGGAATATGTTCTATCATCTGGTGATTTTGATGAAAGAGTGTTTCTGTCCGATAGTGCTGAAGTGGAGATTGGTACTCCCCGTAAAATACAACAGATAGACTTGGATCAAGAGGCATCTTCACGACAGCACTTGGAGGAATTTGTTTCAAAGGTATGTATGGGTGGTATGTTCACCTCATTACCAAAGCCTTTGCTAATCTGTCATCAGCAAATATGAAAATTCACCCAATGTGTCTACCTGAAAAATACACATATTTTGTTTACTGTCTATGAGCTCTGTGCTTATAAAAACATTTTCATGCCAGGTCTCAGAAGGGGCTGAAGGCCTGTAGACACTTTTGAGGCTGAGTGAAAATTTTTTTAAGTATAGTTTTTATTTTATATTTTTATAATAAAGAAATTTGCATTGTAAAATGGCCAGTGAGGCTCGATGTTGAGACTAAAATTGGATTTGTTCCTACGTATCATTCATTTCCTCTGCACACAGTAAAGTTTACTATTGCTATGATATTTACCCTCTGAATATGTTACATTGTGCTCTCTCATTAAACAATTTGCATAGTGCATAAATCAATTTTAACAATTGTTATTTCACTTTGTAAACAAGTTTATTCCACAAATAACACTTGGACCACAGTCAATGTAATAAGCCGCCCACTGTTGCAGCCAAACTTATTACAGGGAATTGATGTAAGGTTCAAAGGATTAATGTCAATTAAAAATGAATTCAGAGAAGTCTCTGGGCTTTGGGGGGTTGATAAAAATATTTGATTTTCATACCGCCCTATTGCTATTTCTGTAAAGCTGAGCAACAGAGTGAGCTCCTTTGTCTATTGTCTTTTTCTTTGTTATTTTAGAACAAAAGTGTTGCACCTCAGACTCCTCTCACCGGTCGAAAATATTTAAAAGAAAAGATCCAAAGTGGGTTTAGTGACTTCAGTAATTACATGCAATCAATTATGATACCTTTTCAGCAAACATCCATGTTCTATTTTCAGTGTCACACCAGTATCAACAGCAACACAATCAGTCAGTCGCCTGCAGTCTTTGCTGCTTGGGTTCAAATCAAGACCAAGTGAAGGATTAATCAATATATTCAAGTATTGTTATACGTACATCACCTGGCTTATGTGAATTATGATTTATGAACTTTGCCTGCTCACTTTCAGTGAATGTAAGAACAGTCCTCGAGAGGCAATTGAGAGACGTGTTTCTGAAATGGCTGAACAGTTCTGTTTAAAATACACACAGGTAAAAATTCTCCATGTTGTTGGGGGTGGTTGAGGTGAGGGTGTAATTGAAAGGCAAGTTTCCTTATTTGAGGCTTGCGGAAACTGGAAAAATTCAACTGGGAGTTTTGATGCATTCTAAGTTTTTACGAACATTTTTCAAAGCTGATTCAAAAGTATCAAATTAGATTCTTTATTGAAAACAGTATATAATATATAGCTAGCTACTGTGTGATGCATCTTCCTTCAATGTACCTACGAATGCTATATCTCAGTACTGACTTGCCAATCATTTGAATTCTTCAGCCTTCAAGCTCACGTCCTGATTCGCCCAGCTCAAGTAAAGAGTTCGCCGATAATCGTTGGAATCTTGCTCTCACTTTGTATTACAAGGTATGTTCATAAGGCAGCCATAGTTGTTATAGTTGCAAAGTTTATAGATACTGTCTGCTGATTAGATGAAGCGTACTGTATGTAATATTTTGTAAATACGACATTCTCCCGCCGTTCTTTGGTGTAAAGCTTGAGTAAATATAATGTTTAAAAAATGAAAGATTTTAATGAAGCCCATTGACGATAGCATAGAAAAAGGATTTTCGGAGAGATTTGGACAAGTGTTAGAAGCAGCACATTTTAAATAGACTGGGAACGGAGATTGTTTTTTCTTTCTTTTAAGTGAAAATCTAAATCTTCTCGAATTCTTGTTGGTTTCCTAATTTCCACTTAACTTAAAATAAATGTAAATGAAGATGATATTTAATGTTATATGTTTATCTTTTTCAAGTCATTGGAGGCTGTTGCGCGTTCCGAGAAGAAGCGTCTTCAAACCCAGTTTGATCTTGCGGTATGACGTCATTAATATTTATCGACGTTTTCTTATTGTGTAGCAACAAAGTTGAAATGTTTTTTATGAGATTGATTATTGTATAGACATTGTTGGATCAAGACATATTTCATAGATCTTTGATCGCTTGTTGCCTAGAGATCGTTATATTTTCTTATAACTCACAAAGGTGAAGTAAATTCTAGAGTTTACATTTCCTGTCCGTTGTGTCAATTTTAACACTTTCTTTATAGGATATTTCCGTGGGTTTTGGAGGTCTATGGTCTTAGTCCTTATTTCTTTTACAAGGTATGTTCATTGCAAACGTTGAATGTCAAGTACACTTTATTTTACAAGTTTTTTGTGCTAAGAAAGTACCGTAAATGCTCGTTTTAGCGCTGCACCCGAAATTTTAACTTGCGCACAGCACTTAAACGAGTACGGTATACGCTATCCAGTAGTCAGTCATAGAGAAGTGTATGTAATATTGTAGTTATTGATAGAGACATGTATGTTTTGCTGTAGACAGTCATAGAGAAGTGTATTCTATACTGCAGTTATTGATAGAGAAATATATGTTATACTGTAGTCTGTCATAGAGAAGTGTATGTAATACTGTAGTCTGTCATAGAGAAGTGTAATCTATACTGTAGTTAATTGATAGAGAGATGTATATAATACTGTAGTCTGTCATAGAGAAGTTTATTGATATGAAAGAACGTTATATGCAGTGCGGTGTTGAAATTAAATGAAGATATGATCTTCGCACTTTGTTGGACAATTTAAGCAATTGTCTCGTGAACCTGAAAAATTCAGGTGACTCAACGGGATTCGAACGCATGACCTCTGCGGTGCTGGTGCAGTGCTCTAACTGCACCCATGACCTCTGCGGTGCTGGTGCAGTGCTCTTACTGTAGTCAGTCATAGAGAAGTGTATGTTTTACTGTAGTCAGTCATAGAGAAATGTATGTTTTACTGTAGTCAGTCATAAAGAAGTGTATGTTTTACTGTAGTCAGTCATAGAGAAATGTATGTTTTACTGTAGTCAGTCATAGAGAAGTGTATGTTTTATTGTAGTCAGTCATAGAGAAGTGTATGTTTTACTGTAGTCAGTCATTAAGAAGTGTATGTTTTACTGTAGTCAGTCATAGAGAAATGTATGTTTTACTGTAGTCAGTCATAGAGAAGTGTATGTTTTACTTTAGTCAGTCATAGAGAAGTGTATGTTTTACTGTAGTCAGTCATAGAGAAGTGTATGTTTTACTGTAGTCAGTCATAAAGAAGTGTATGTTTACTGTAGTCAGTCATAGAGAAGTGTATGTTTTACTGTAGTCAGTCATAAAGAAGTGTATGTTTTACTGTAGTCAGTCATAGAGAAGTGTATGTTTTACTGTAGTCATAAAGAAGTGTATGTTTTACTGTAGTCAGTCATAAAAAGTGTATGTTTTACTGTAGTCAGTCATAAAGAAGTATATGTTGTACTGTAGTCAGTCATAAAGAAGTGTATGTTTTACTGTAGTCAGTCATAGAGAAGTGTATGTTATACTCAGTCATAGAAGTGTATGTTATACTGTAGTCAGTCATAGAGAAGTGTATGTTTTACTGTAGTCAGTCATAGAAGTGTATGTTTTACTGTAGTCAGTCAAAGAAGTGTATGTTTTACTGTAGTCAGTCATAAAGAAGTGTATGTTTTACTGTAGTCAGTCATAAAGAAGTGTATGTTTTACTGTAGTCAGTCATAAAGAAGTATATGTTGTACTGTAGTCAGTCATAAAAAGTGTATGTTTACTGTAGTCAGTCATAGAGTGTATGTTGTAATGTAGTCAGTCATAGAGAAGTGTATGTTATACTGTAGTCAGTCATAGAGAAGTGTATGTTATACTGTAGTCAGTCATAAAGAAGTGTATGTTTTACTGTAGTCAGTCATAGAGAAGTGTATGTTGTAATGTAGTCAGTCATAGAGAAGTGTATGTTATACTGTAGTCAGTCATAAAGAAGTGTATGTTATACTGTAGTCAGTCATAGAGAAGTGTATGTTGTAATGTAGTCAGTCATAGAGAAGTGTATGTTATACTGTAGTCAGTCATAGAGAAGTGTATGTTATACTGTAGTCAGTCATAAAGAAGTGTATGTTTTACTGTAGTCAGTCATAAAGAAGTGTATGTTATACTGTAGTCATAGAGAAGTGTATGTTATACTGTAGTCAGTCATAAAGAAGTGTATGTTATACTGTAGTCAGTCATAGAGAAGTGTATGTTGTAATGTAGTCATAGAGAAGTATGTTATACTGTAGTCAGTCATAAAGAAGTGTATGTTATACTGTAGTCAGTCATAGAGAAGTGTATGTAATGTAGTCAGTCATAGAGAAGTGTATGTTATACTGTAGTCAGTCATAGAGAAGTGTATGTTATACTGTAGTCAGTCATAGAGAAGTGTATGTTTTACTGTAGTCAGTCATAGAGAAGTGTATGTTATACTGTAGTCAGTCATAGAGAAGTGTATGTTTTACTGTAGTCAGTCATAGAGAAGTGTATGTTTTACTGTAGTCAGTCATAGAGAAGTGTATGTTGTACTGTAGTCAGTCATAGAGAAGTGTATGTTTTACTGTAGTCAGTCATAGAGAAGTGTATGTTGTACTGTAGTCAGTCATAAAGAAGTGTATGTTATACTGTAGTCAGTCATGGAGAAGTGTATGTTATACTGTAGTCAGTCATAAAGAAGTGTATGTTTTACTGTAGTCAGTCATAAAGAAGTGTATGTTATACTGTAGTCAGTCATAGAGAAGTGTATTTTTACTGTAGTCAGTCATAAAGAAGTGTATGCTATAAGGGGTGAGCTTGTTTAAATTTGCCATTCTGTTATAGAGATGTCCATTTTCCATGTTTGTTTTCTGCAGGTGATTGAAGTTTTAATTCGAGCGGAAGATGGTTTATCCCGTGACGTTGTGAAACATCTCAACTACGTAAGTTGCATTGAACTTTTTTCTTGTCACCCAGGTAAAAATTCTGATTTTTCCGTATTGTCGCGAGACTACACAAAGCACGCGTGTCCGACACGAAGTCCTTGAACCAATCAAATTATTTCTTTGATCATTTCACGCGTAAAGCGTAGTAGCGAGTGTCAGAAATCATTATTTACATAGTATATTGTCTTGTGTGAGATTGCATTGCCGTGAAATTTGTTATGCTATTTGGAAACCACGTATTATAACCTGATTTCGAGTAGCCTGAGTGAATGCCTGATAATTGTCTTTTTAAATTGCTCTATTCAACGTTTTGTAATTTCTTTAGATCGAGGAACAGATTCTTGAGTCAATGGCTTGGCAAACTGGCTCTCCTCTTTGGGATTATATAAATACGTTACATGAAGTACCATCGTGTGAGGAAGTGACTGTACCTCAGAACATTGAGCATGCTGTTGGCTCAACGGGAGCTGTGAGATCGCCCCTTGTTCATCCTGTTGTTAAGAGAATATCTGATGAAGAAACGGGAAAAAGAGGTTGGAGACTACTGCATGAAAACCCCATATTCGAACTGTCTTTAAATACCTATGTCTCTTGCTCTATTAGGTATCCCCAGTTCTCCCGCTGTCTCCGCCCATGACCGGTATTCGTCACCAGTGCAACCACATCTGGCACGTCGTAAATTATTTTCTGGGGATTCTGGAACTCAAACAATGACGTCAGGACCTAAATCGTTACCAATCAATATAACATCAACTGCATCAAGTACTATGAAAAGGGCTACACAACTTACTAAGTCGATAAATACAGTCAAAACAGGCAATGGTAGCATTATCAATTCATCTGTCTCCAGTCCAAAGGTTACTCGTTCACCATTACCTAGTCCCGTGAAAATGACGTCAGCTCCAGCAACGCCCGATAAAGATGCAATGTTGAGACCAAAGAAGACTGGATCGACAGCATTATTCTTTAGAAAGGTTTGCAATGTTTGACCATGTACTACGTTATCTATTAAAACAGGATTTGTACAATTCTTGAATGTCCTTGAATTTGAAGCGAAAACAAGGCCTTAAAAGTACTCGAATTTATTAAGATAAACTTAAAGTGCTTGAATTAAAATTTTTTTGATTGTATTTTTGTAAGCATATCATCGATCGCACTACTTTTTTCATAAGTGGAGTTGATCCTTTATTTCACAAAAAAGCAACTTGTGCACTGTATTGTTTATGTAAGCATACCATCATGTCCGATTTCAAGTCAATGAAACACGCCATTTACCCTTCATTCATTTGAAAAAGCTCTTTTATTTTTATCTTGACAATGCGTTTAAAGATTTCTGTCTTTAGTTGTGCTTTTTGTGCATTTTAAGGTCTTAGCCCTTAAATTATTCAAAATTTGTTGAAAAGTGCATGAAAATTAGCATTGTACGATTTCTGTTATAACGATACTTTTCTCGACACTAAAGGAGTCTTGCAAGATCATCAAACGGGACATAAAATGTTTGGATCAAAATTTCTCATGTTTGTAAACACAAAAAATAACTATCTGCACTTCATTTGGGGGTGGCTTTTTCAACTATACAATAAGATGTTCTTGATGTAGAAAGAATTGTTTTATAGAATGCAAAAATATGTTATTATGTGCATCGTAAGAATTGTGTCGTTTACCAACTTATTAAGTGTAGGTTTTTTTTGTCACTTAGGTCTACCATTTAGCAAGTGTTCGCCTTCGTGACTTATGTGCAAAATTAAATGTAAATGAGGATTTAAGAGGAAAGTAAGTAGATATTAAAAAATTTGTTTTCCTTTTCATCTGGTCTTCTTGCATAAATGTGTCCCATCCCAATGAAATTGTATGTATTCATCTGTGTTATGTAGACTTCAAACTTTTCGTTTTTACTTACGTTCTTCCCTCATTCTACTGTAACAATCTGTGTGATTTAGGTTTTCTTTTTAAATTGTTATTTGATCTGGTGTACGTATGTCTATTCTGGAAATGGAACTTTCATAAAGAGCTTTATAGATATGCATCAATGTCTGTTGACATCACGAATATTTTAAAATGTATGATGAAGTGCTCTTGTTGTTTATAGAATATGGACGTGTTTCGAACATTCATTGATCAGTTGTACAGATCTTATGAAAGATCGTCATCTTGACCAGTTATTGATGTGTGCCATTTATGTCATGGGAAAGGTACATGTAGTGTTCTTTGTATCATCTTATCACATCTTATCCTTTCTTCTCATAAAATATCAACTCGTTCTCTCCATATCAGGTTACCAATTATGACGTCAAATTTCAAGATATCATGCGTCATTACCGTACGCAGCCACAGGCAGCAAGTCACGTGAGTAAAAAAATTACCAAAAGCTGGTGAAGTGCATCATAAAATGAGTAGACTGTTTAAATGGTACGTACAGAGTGCCTCGAAAAAAACGGAACCCTTCACAAATAATTATGAAATATTACAATGAAATCCGCATAAAATAAAATTCTGCAATAGCTAGTTAATTAAGTTGCGCGCTAGTTTATCCATGGTCGTTGCAACTTATAAAAATTATAATTACGTTTTCATGACTGTCATAACTCAGTAAATGTCGCTTTGAATTTACAAAGCTTTAGAGCAATAAATTTGAAATGTAAATCAGTGTATGATTTAGTTTTGTCTGTGACTGGATGTATGTGTTTATGTAAGTTTGCTTATTTTAAAATGAGATTTGATTATAATATCAATTATGAAAAGAAATCCGCGTATTTAGATATACCGAAATGTCCTACTTTGTCCTAAGAAGACTAAATCCGGTAGTGCCAGTAGTAATGACAGCACTCACGGTAATCTGTTTACTCGGTTATAACTCTATTGTACTTATACTTCTCTGAAGTCTTACTCTTTAAACATCTTTGTTTGCAGTAAAGAGTGAGCCAAATAGCGCTCGCTCTAGTCCCACCATAGTCACCTCGGCCAACAGCGCTCCATCAAGCCGTAGTGCCAGTCCCCAAATACGAAGTGTGAGTACCGTCCCATCAACCCCTCCTCCCACGCAAACGGAAACAACAACGGATTCCAGTTCTCCTGAAAACAACCGTGGCGATCTTATTGAATTTTATAATAAAGTAAGTTGAAAAACATTTGATTTCTTGGAGCTTCACTATGTACATTGCTTCAGCTGCTTTTTTATTTTAGGTTTATATAAAGAGAATTCAAAAGTTTGCACGAAAGTTTTCAGCGAACGAGAATGGTGTAAGTACTTGTAAAGATTTTTGACTGTATGTAATGACTGTATTGACATGGTGTTTTAATCTTTAAACTTGAACTCTTTTTACCTAAGTTTGTGGTTTGTCTTGTGAAAAACTCGAGAGTTTTATGTTTGGTTTTGTTTCAGCCCGATGCACCGCCTTTGTCGCCATTACCCGTAGCACGACACCAGTCCCATTCCCCTCGCAGGGTAAGGAACTCTACATGTTTTTGTGATGTTTCAACTTTCGACATTTTTACATCTGTGTCATCTGTGTTGAACATTTTCATTTTAGAGAGTGACATCCGGGCAATCTGTGTACATATCTCCACGTAAGAGCGGTGAGAGTTAGGTTTACTGCAATATTAATGATAGCAATTCGGTTTGTAGATTTTTTGTTAATTTTCAGGTTCTTGAAATAATCGGTTTATAGTTTTTTCAAATTTTGTAAAACAGTTTTCCGTCACACATCAACCCGATTACTATGACGTAGCTGGATATTTTAGCGAAATACTTCTTAGTCACTCGCTAAGCTACTTAATTTATGAAAGTTTTCAACTGAAGTATGATTGTTGAAAAGTACTTTTTTGTAGGACTTCCTCTTGTGTGCAACTCCCCTCGTTTGTCCTATAGTTTCAAGGAAAGTCCATCTGAGGTATAGTATGAATTAAATTGACTTTATCGTGTTAGCACAACGCCAGGATAGCAACGTCTACTGACTGAAGTTTTCTGGTAATTTCACTCACAAGAATGAAAACTTATCTGGCTTAAATGGTTGTTGTGCTGCATGGTTGTGTTTCATGGTTATATTGTTGCATTGTTATCATGTTGCATGGTTATTGTTTTGCATGGTTATTTTGTTGCATGGTTATTGTGTTGCATTGTTATTGTGTTGCATGGTTATCATGTTGCATGGTTATTGTGTTGCATGGTTATTGTGTTGCATGGTTATTGTGTTGCATGGTTATATTGTTGCATGGTTATCATGTTTCATGGTTATATTGTTGCATTGTTATCATGTTGCATGGTATTGTGTTGTATTGTTATTGTGTTGCATGGTTATCATGTTGTATGGTTATTGTGTTGCATGGTTATCATGTTGCATGGTTATCATGTTGCATGGTTATTGTGCTGCATGGTTATTGTTGTTGCATGGTTATTGTGTTGCATGGTTATTGTTTTGCATGGTTATCATGTTGCATGGTTATTGTGTTGCATGGTTATATTTTTGCATGGTTATCATGATGCATGTTATTCATGGTTATATTGTTGCATTGTTATTGTTGCATGGTTATTTTGTTGCATGGTTATTGTGTTGCATGGTTATTTGTTGCATTGTTATTGTTGCATGGTTATGTTGCATGGTTATTGTGTTGTGGTTATTGTGTTGCATGGTTATTGTGTTGCATGGTTATATTGTTGCATGGTTATCATGTTTCATGGTTATATTGTTGCATTGTTATCATGTTGCATGGTATTGTTGTATTGTTATTGTGTTGCATGGTTATCTGTTATTGTGTTGCATGGTTATCATGTTGCATGGTTATCATGTTGCATGGTTATTGTGCTGCATGGTTATATTGTTGCATGGTTATTGTGTTGCACTGTTATTGTGTTGCATGGTTATTGTTTTGCATGGTTATCATGTTGCATGGTTATTGTGTTGCATGGTTATATTTTTGCATGGTTATCATGATGCATGGTTATTGTGTTTATGGTTATATTGTTGCATTGTTATCATGTTGCATGGTTATTGTTTTGCATGGTTATTGTGTTGTATTGTTATTGTGTTTCATGGTTATTTTGTTGCATGGTTATCATGTTGCATGGTTATTGTGCTGCATGGTTATATTGTTGCATGGTTATTGTGTTGTATTGTTATTGTGTTGCACGGTTATTGTTTTGCATGGTTATTGTGTTGTATGGTTATATTGTTGCATGGTTATTGTGTTTCATGATTATGTGTTGTTATGTTTTACAGAATTTGCAAAACATCAATAGTGCCATTTTGAATGGCTGCAACGGTCACTCAAGAAAACGGTTGCTATGCGACAACGATGATAATGAAGACTACTGCAAGGCTGCAAAGATGAGCAACGGAAATGGGGTTCTCGCTAGAAAACTCCAGAATATGCTTGCTGAACGAGAATCGTCTGCTAAAAGATGAAAGTTCGTGTTTTCTAAAATGGCTCAATGTAGGATACCTTTATAAAATTTTTAACGTAGTACATTAACTTTTCTCTGAAAATTGAAATGGGGTAAACTCGGTTGTATTTATTTAGCAGGTCATACTACGTAAGCTTTTTAAAGGGTTGCGTAGGTAAAGAGAATTCATCACAGAGGTGAAAGGATGTTGTTGAACGACAGTACCAAACAGAACAATGTCTATATTGTGGACATTGTTGATCAGTGTTTGTTCCTAATTTTGATGTAAAATGACACCTATAAATCGTCGTTCATTTATGCAAGCAATGTTCTGTTTGTGTCAAGTCAAATCTTCGATATTTGTTGACAAATAGCGATGAGGCAACTTCATCCGAAAGCAACAGCAATTTTTGTTTCCTTAAGCTTTTAACTTTGATATTAAATAGCTGGATTGAATTGTGACCACTATCGTGGACTACCTGGAAGTTGTGTCATTCTATGCAAATATCTCGGTGTTCATTTTCCGTATTTAAAAGCAATACAAATTTAAAGAGAGAAATCATGCCGATGAATTAAATTTGCATAGCATGATGAAATTTGCTGGCTGGTACGTCACCGATTGTGACAAGGCAAAATTAGTTTTATAAGATATTATTTTAAGTAAGAGATAGGTTTTAATGTTGAGATGTCAATGCAATTGCTTTATTCCAAACAAAAAAAACACACATTAGAAATTGTTGTTGACAGAAGATCGGTTAACGAAGTAATGTATTCTTTAGATAAACTCTGATATTGTGTAGCGTTTTAGTTATACAACTTTACATATTTGTAATTTTATCGATTAGAAAAAGTATTATCTATGGTATAAGTGAAGATTATGTAGAAGTCTTTCTTTTCAGCTCAAATTGGTTTTCAAAAGTCTAGAAATGCTTGGGCGCTACCAACTCGCCATATTTTCTGTATTTTTTGTAAAGAAACATGACAGTCTTTAATGTGTCTGTTTGCGCATGTTCAGGATAATGAACGCGAGTGGTCGTCCAAAGTTTTTCAAACTTCATTATGTCGTCATTGTAAGCGGTTAAATTGAATGGCTCTTTCCAGATAAGAGATTTCATTAAGAAACCGACAAATACTGCCCAGCGTTGTTTATAAAAATCTTTCACCAGTCCACTCCACATTTTGTTCGCATAGTCTTCAATGTTCTCGTGTGGACCCCACGTTGTGATCTGATTTCGTGCGTTGAACTCCAGAAGTTTTTCGGCAGTCGGAGAGTGCGCCATACGTTTTGCAGCGTTTAACCAACGTCCGAGTAGGAAGAAGCGATTGCTAGAAAGGACTAGGTCCAAATCATATAAAAGATCGATGAATTTAGCACTCTCGAGCTGTAGCGACCGAAGATCGTTTGATTTATAGGACGATGTGACGTTTTGATAAAACAGATAAGAAAACGATTGAAAAAATTGCCTTGTGATGTCCACCAAATCATAACTGAAACAGAATGTAAACAAAGTCTTTATCATTGTGTTGTGCTCTTGTATCGCCAAAAAAATTTCAATGCAACGGAACACAAATATTGCTGATATTTGGCCAAAACTAAAGCAGCAGCCTTCATATTGTTAATAACATCCATTCGTCAACCTCTTTCATTACCTGAACGTTGTTGAATGGATAAGCTTGGGCGCCGCTTTTATCATTCCGTCCCAGGCCTCCACAGTGAAGAACGGCTCGTACCAATAGTCGGGTTTTATATTGAGTGACGGCTTCATGACAGGAACTGCTTTACAATGTCTGGCGAAGCCTTTAGTGTCGTTGTACACACTTTGGGCGAGTGCCTTCACGAACACAATGCTGTTTTCAAAACACAAACATTTCAGAACTGGGTTGTTCATCTACGTTCTTACCTTCCACGCCATATCCACGTTTTGGTTCCAGGCCCCGTATCTTCGCTTCGTGTATTTCTTCAACCATGCCCCTACTTGTACCTGTTTATCTCTCCAGCCCATCTCCAACATAAGATCATACACTACATAATTAGTCTCAATACCTTCGGGAGTGACGCCAATCCCAAGCATGTTGTCATGTTGTTGGTGCACCCTAACTGGCTCTAGAGATGAGGTCACAAAGTTTCAGTTACAAAGTAACTTAAAGTTAGCTGCGTGGTTAAACTTTCTATGTTAAATATTTTTCATCATTCAAAAGTTACCTGTAGCGATAGTGTGCAGCGTTCCGTGCATGCCGACATTCCCACCAAAATTATTAAGCATACACCAGATAAACGGTTGACCATAGAATGAGTTTGTTTTTTTCCAAACTGGTGAAATCTCAGCATATAAATCCAGCACTATCATCTTGCCTTTTGGTACTCCTAGAACATCGATACATGTTTCATGTTCATCATTAAATTTAGTCTCATCTCTTACGGATCATTAAATAGATTAGGACACCTTGTAAATATGCCTGAACTTGAGATGATTGCCAGAATTTTGGATCGTTCAAAAACATCCATCCTTGCATTAGCCAGACGGCCTTATCATCTCCGCTAGCCATGGCTTCATATACTGCTCTACTTGTTTGCGAGAGGTAACTGGGAGATGATGTGTTCGGTCGCAACTCGTTGAAAGTGTCGCCGTTGTAAATGTGACCTGTTCCGTTGTATTCGTGTATCTGCTCTTCAATGAACATCTTTCCAATAGTCTGAAAAGAAAAAATTCCTTAGTGTGTATGCTCTACATACTGTATTTTCTTAAGATGCAATATGTTTCATTAACGTGATAATACATGGCACATTGCACTTTGTTCAATTAAGTATTGTGTTTTATTAAAGTTTCCTTTCAGCAATAAATTTTTTACAGCGATATTTGATTTATGTGTGATTTCCAACGTATCAGTGAATTATGTTACTCAAATCGCTCCATTTCCAAAAATCGCTCCTTTTATTGGACATTGTCCGTCGTCCGAAAACTTTAGCACGACTAAATTTTGTGACGTCATGCAAGAGATTACTCAGTACAAGATATATAAACCAACTGCCATGGAAGACGTGAGAATTTGGCTCGACCCAGACATCATGCCAAGGCGGATAAGGTTTATTGAAAAGCAATCTCCATAACAAGAAGACGATTTGACAAAATCAAATTTTTCACTGATACATTAGACATTACACCTAGTTTTAATATTGCAAATGCAAGTTTTTGCTGATAGGGGCACTTAAATGAAAAAAACCCCGGAAAACACAAATTTATCTATGCATATCGAACTAGTTTGCTACATATAATGTACAATATTTTGATGTAACGCAAATTAATTTCATGAATCGACCGCTACTAGTTCAGCAGAAATTGATGGAGTCGACGTTTCCCTTAAAGATGGAATAAATTCTGTCATTGCAATGAACTAATTTGAATTAATCAAAATATCATTGAATTTGTGCAGCCCACTAATTCGATATGCATGAATAAATTTGGGAGTTCCATTTTTTTTTGAGACATCCCAAAGCAAAGTTCAGTCATCATTCCCGTCAGTGGATGAAAACGCACCTTAAACAGTTCATCGTTAGGGTCCAAGAGGTAAGTTGGGACATATGGTGGACTGAAGTGACTCCAGCGACTCAATGTTGTCATGGTAGCATGTGGAAATACTCGTGCTAAGGCCTTTGGTACGTGACCTGCAAACGCGGGTAGGACTGGGATCATTCCAAAACTGCGCATGCGTTGTATTATCTTATGCTGCAAAGCAAGCTGTCTCTGGTACCAGTAAGGCTTTGGTAATGGTCCTCCCCATCCTTTTACGTTACCCATACGGGACCTTCAAGTGTAACATGTTTTAAATCTTCAAATTTTTTTAATTAAATATCATCCTGTGTTTATATTTTGTCCTACCAAGCGAGAAATGCTGGACCAGCAAAATGCTCGTCCAGTTCATGCTGCGTTAGGCCCAGTCTCTTGTAGATGCGTTGCCAAATGGTTTCCTGACCTGTGAATGCCAGTGGCAAGTTGATACCATTCATTACCATCCAGTCAATTTCTTGTTCCCAGCGAGTCCAGTTCCACCAAACAAACGAATAACTCGATGTACATACATTCTGATAATACCTGAATCTGACGGAGAATGGACAGTGTTATCTTGTAGTCTAGCTCTGATTTCTAAGTTGCATGCGGTACGTTGTCCTTGTTGATTCACATTTGATGATAATAATCATACTGTGTACTACCCACGGGTTAATTAGTGCTCGTCGTTCCATTCCTCGTTCCAAAATCATTTACGATTGTGATTCGAGGGAAAAACACTTGGAAAACAGTTTAACTATCAAGTGGCGTAGCCAGGAAAAATAGTAAATCCCGCCCACTATGTTCCCCCGGAAAATTTAGAAATCTAGAGCCTTGGAAACAGCATTTCCTGCGATTTGGAGGGCGAATTATTTGTTGTACAATAAGTTATAAAAACCCCTTTTTGTTAGCTGCATTCTTAATGTGGCAATCGCCAAAACTGCAACTAGTTAAAAAGGTACTAAAGGTGGCTCAGAGAAACGTTACGCAGGAGACAATTGTCCCCTAAAACATAATGAATCAAACTCATCACTGCCCTTGAATAAAAAGAAGAAATTTGGATTAGCACAAAAATTAACATAGTATACGACACTTCCTAAAATGCATAGAGAGAGATTGTTCTTAGCATTCCACTTGTAAGTTTACACTTGTTTAGATTGGGGCAGGTAGACAGGAATGGCTTTATTCTTTAAAGTTATGCTTAATTTTCTCAGTGAAGTACCATGCATTATAAGAACAAGTATCAAAACACATTCTATACCCATCATTTATTAAAAAAGGCCAGCCTCCTGGGTTTTTCTACAAATTTTTCAACCACCTCATTATGCAACACCTCTGAATCCTCTTTTTGTTCAATGATATCTTTGTGAATAGATAGTCTACACAACGGTCCGTTATTTCTCCGTAAAGACCTCGCGCTCGGTCATTAAGGGCTTAATAACAAGTTGTACCTTTGAGTACCTTTATCATCATGATACCATTACTACACCCTACCTGTGTGGTATAACGATTTTCACTCGTGGTGTAACGCGGGGAAGCGGTGTCGGTATTGTCTCCAGTTGATTACCATTCCACGAGATATGAGCTTCACAAAAGTACTTAAGGTAGTGATGAAATGCCCATCCTGCTGCGACACCTGTTGTCCCTTTAAGCACAAGCCTATCCTGAACTGTTTCGATGGTGAAAGCTTCTTGTCCTAACGGCACCAGACTCAAATCTACAATGACTGTGAACTCTGAAGCTCGACGATGAAGTAACCTCGTAATTAAACCTCTCACGCTTTCTTCTTGATCTTGAATGGATGTTTCCGACTTTATTTGTCGATAAGTAAACCATTTTGTCCACGTATCGCATGGTCGCAGATAAAATAACAATAAAAAGATCGAAAGAGCTTTCATCATTGCTGTCATCCTTGAGGGGAACACTATGAACATGTGACACTATCTGGAAATGTGATCCATCAAACGTCATACTTGATATGATCTTTTACACTGACGATAGTACGTTGCCATATGTTTGTTTTTTTTTATTAATTTATAGATAAACGAAGTGTGTTACTGCAGTTTATTTTTCAGTAATTTGCTTATTTGACGTTGTCATTCAAAGGATGACCATTTAATTCTAAATTTCTTATGCTTATGTCATTTTGACTTTTTGAGCGATGTTAATTATTATTCAAAATGGCGATCTTCATAGAAGATTGTGAATTGTGAAAATAATTATATTTATAAATTACTACATGTCACTATGTCGTCTAGAGCTTTGAGGAAATTGCAGGGTTAGTACTTAAGACTTTTAGCGTTTCCATTTAGTTGTGAGCTAAATAAGACTCGCTATTATAATTTCTTATAATTATTAATTATTGAATCAAACTCTTTTTGAAGGACCTAATTTGTTAGAAATAGCTTCTGATGATATAGAAGAAGAGGATCTTTTGGTCACTTCTCAAAATTCTGGCACAAAGAAGAAAATCAATGCATTTAACGTGGTGTGTATGCATGCGAAATGCTGCTTTTCATATTTTATTATTTCACTTATCAGACTGTCTTAAGTTATCCATTCACATATTTGTAAAGAGGTATAGGTGAGCGATTTAAATTGCTCTTATGTACTCAGCAAGTGTTGTAAAGCAATCTATTTAGTTCCTATTATGTAAAAGCTTCCGCAAGAAGCAGTTTCCCATTAATGGCAATTACCAGCATAATAATACATTTTGAGATATTTCTCGACTGTGATTGATGGATTGCAGCGCAATTTATCTGTAAGTGCACTGTGAAAATTTGTAATTGTACTGTTGAAAAGCTGTAATTGCACTGACTGTAAATACTGTTTTCTGAATGGCTGAAAAGGAGTGAAAGCCAATTTTTTCAATAAAAAAACAGGATTTTTTCATGATTTCTACATAACATAAAAACATGATTTTAACAGCTGCATTTGAAATTCACTAAAAAAGAATACCAAGAAAAAAAGCAAAACAGAAAGTACCTACCTACTTTTTTTTGCTGAATGATTTTAACCAGTGACGTTGCCAGCCCCCAAGTTTTGGTCCTGCTATGTAAATTTTAGAACACCAGCATTATTCATTTCTTTAGAAATCTGTTGTTTTTACAGTGAGTGAACACAGAAAAATTAACATAGCAAGACCAAATTTGCGGGCTGACTATGCCACTGTTTTTAACAGTTTGGCCACATAACAAGCTTTTCTGAAGTGATAGACAGTAAAAAAGCGAGAAAGAGTTAGACAATACAGTAAAGATACATCTCAAAGTATATAATTATTGAGTAATAGTATAGTTTTTTGTGCAATTATGGCTAAGCATAAACTCTTGACTTTTTAAAGACTAAAAATGTTTCGCTGCCATCTCTACAGAACTCACTTGTGCATGTTTATCTATAATTGCACTTAAAACTATAATATTACCTGTAAAAATAAAATATATGTACATATGTTGACCACAGAAAATTGGTATGTTGTACTGGATATACATAGTTGTTCTGGAGTTTGGCTCTTGCAAATCTCATTCAAGTTTACCGGTGCAAATATTTACTTGAATTTTTCACCGTGATACATTGATAGATTTACTGGAAATATCTATGATTATTACAATTGCTTGAATATCATAACCTGAGAAAGTGCTCTTCCTGAGCAATTAGGTAAATTTAAAGGGTATAAACATACATCAGTGATTAAATGATAAAAAAAGTCAAAATCTTTACAGTTGGCAGACAGCAATGATGACGAAGAGGATCATGCTTCCTCTGATAAAGAGCAGATTTCTAAAGACTCTCAGCAGGAAAATTTGGACGAAAAAGAAAATGTGAATGCAAGTGGAAACAAGTCTTCAAATGAAAGCCGAAGGAAAGGAAAGAAAAAGAAGAAAAGAGGGAAAAAATTTGAAGAAGATGACCTTAAAAAAGATGTGAGTTGTTGTTTATGGTATAAAATATCATCTCCATATTTCTATATTATTTTGACTCTTGTTTCAAAGGAAGATGATGAATTTTTATTGTTGAATACTTCAAACTCATCTATTTCAACAGGTAAACAAATTTAAAAATGTGAAATAAGATTAAATGTTTCCAATAACTCCTTTACAAAGGACATTTCTCATTGTGCTATACAGTTGCATAGCAAATTCAATTCTTGTTGTAGAGGTTTTCATATATTCAATATTAAGCAATGTTAAGCTCCTTTTAAATGAATTGCTCTGAATGAATTAAAACATGCTTGTATGAATTTGCTCCCTCTCCCCTTCACCCCCCAATGAATGAGTTTGCTATGCTACTCTGGTCCTGTACTGTGATATACATCTGAACCTTTTTGCTCATCGTCTTTATCGCAGGGCAACCGTCATCATCCCTTACTGATGCCAGTATGTTCACAAAGCCACTTCTCATGGTGGAACACAGGTTATTTAAGAAATAAAGATGTTTACTGTGTTTGCACAGGCTTATGCAAACCGCGGAGACTTCTGAGAAAACTTCATAGTTGATCATTGCACGACCAAGACCTAAGGTCAAGTGTTGTATCTGCTCGAGAGTTTTCACAAACGTCTTCAAGGTTTGCATAAGCCAGTGCATACACGGAAAATATCTCATGTTCTTTTTATAAAATAGCAATAATGCAAAACAGACAATTTTAAAACAAACTTTAATTTTTCATAAAATAGCAATAATGCAAAACAAACAATTTTAAAACATTTTTAATTGTTCTTCTAAAGTTTATTTATGATTGATTTGAAAATTCTCTTTGATTGATTGACTGATTTGATTGAAAACATCCATAGACCAATCACTGCACACGTTTTATCGTTTGTATGTAATAAATTTGTATGACATGTAAAATGGCTTTGATGTAAGCTATGGATGAATCTATCTTTATGTTGTAGAAATCTCAATGCAGAAAATGAATTATGTCGCAAGTTTGGTACGAAAATTGTGAAAGGAGACCGTGGGTTAGTGTTGAATTAGAATTGCTTAATGCCACATTAGATATCCTTTTGTCTGACAAAATTTTTTCTCAACTAATTCACCCGCTGCTTTTGTCTTTTCACTGTCTGTGTCACATTATCCATTAAATAATATGTGACTCAATCTAACCTTTCATGTTGTTATTTATAGGGAAATTTGAATTTCTTTAATTTTCTTTTTAGACGTTCAAACCATCGCAGGATACACCGTTCAACTTTGTACGTCAACGTTTTATTCCGAAATTAAATTTCCATCGTGCCAGTTGTATTCATTAATATTCATATTCAAACTGTTTTTTTCAGTTTAGTTAAACCTCGAGATAACTGGCCTAAAGTTGGAAAGTCAGGAATTCAAATGAAATTGATGAGTTCTAATAACGGGTTCGTTACCAGTTTTTTTGTATTTTTCTTATATTTTTAACCACTAAATTCATAATACTAAAGTGTAGATGTTCATTGTTCTACACTATATAAAACACTACACTAAAACAGATCTTTACACCATATTTTAGCGTTATTGTTGCTCTATCGTGGCAATTTCATTGCTTTAACCAGCACTATCTTTTCGCTATCCTTGTACTATCTTTTCGCTATCGTTGCACTATCTTTTCGCTATCGTTGCACTATCTTTTCGCTATCGTTGCACTATCTTTTCGCTATCGTTGCACTATCTTTTCGCTATCGTTGCACAATCTTTTCGCTATCGTTGCACAATCTTTTCGCTATCGTTGTA